ATCTGATATAGTTTCTTGAGTTAATGCTGAATAAAATGAATCTTTCGTGAATGGTTCCTCTTTATATAATTCTTCTTCGTAATTTTCCCATGTGATGAATTGATAAGGGAAAAAGGATTTAACACGTGATTTATTGTTTCCGAAATCTTGAGTGAATTGGTCTAATGTCCCACCCGCTATATAATTTCTGATGTCAATAAATCTCAATTCATATGGAGTTTTGTTTTCTTTACAATGATTTGCTTAAATTGTGAAGATGAACCCAGCATTGATTTTATTTTCCATTTTGCAGTGTTTAAATCACGAAGAATTAAATTTAAATCAAACTTTCCCGAATTAAAACCTATGATATTCACTTTATTGAATTCCTCATCTAGAAGTTCTTTAAATGCTTCCTTCTGTTTTTCATTTAATGTATGAGACAAAGTCCCCGCCGTTTGGTCCGTTTGCGACTTCATTAATTCTTCATATTGTTCAATATTTGATTTAGCAACTAATGAACAGGTTGAAAATAAAAACTCAATCCAATCAGAAATAAAAGAATCACTCGAAGTTAAGCAAAAATTCCTCGTATATGTTTTATCATTTAATTTAACCGTTGATGATACCATGAATGGTTTTAAGTAAGCGTTCAAAGTTGCACACTCAGAAAGTTGTAATTCTTCTTTAGTCTCTAATGTTTCGAAGTCAAAAGTAATATAATATCTTGTCGGTTGATAATATTCCTGCAAATTATGAGCTAATAACCACTGATATATCTTCTGTTTCGTAATATGTGGTGCATATGGTTGCTGTGTCTTTTGCAATTGAACGTCTTGAATTAATCTTCCATTATTTTCTTTACATTTCTCACAATGCTTTAAAAATCTTCTTTGGTTTTTCCTTTCTGGATCATCACGGATAGAATAAACTTCTTCTTTACAATATGGACAAACTCTATAGCCGGTGAGTGCTTCAACGTCTGTTATTCTGTCAGCGTGAAGTTTTCCACATGGACTCTGTGTTAATAAAATATTTACTGTTTCAAATTCTGGATCTATCATTATTGATTCCACTAATGGAAAGTCTACCTTATTTATGTCCACGTCTTCTGGTTGAGGATCACAATAATAGAAATCAATATTAACATTTAACATTCTCGCTAATCTCTCACTTTCTGATGAAATGTCAAACCCTTCATATGAATCTATTGCTTCATTTAAATAACTTCTACGAGTTTTAGGATTAACACCATCAGGAATGTTATAGAAGCGTTTAAATAACCTTCTACCTTCTGCTCTAATTTGATTATCATTCATTTTAGCTGTTCCGTTTTTGTTCATTTATGTAAGAATAAAAAATTAAAAAATAAATAAAAATAAACTTTATTTTTTAAAGCCCATAAAATGAATTAAGAACACATAAATTTTTATCATCTGCGACGTGACGAATACATTTTAATTTACTCAAGAATGCGTACCCTGATACATTAAATCTAATTCCTGTCTTATTTAATTTCACAACTTTGAAAAGGAATGTATGAATAGCTATAAAATGATGAGAAGATGTTTTATGGGTTGCTTCCATTTTTTCTGAAATAAATGAATAAATATAATGTTTATAAGTTTTCATATCTTTTATGTTCTTAATAACGAATGGTATAGACCTTTCCACTTCGTCTTCCTTCGGTGCTGTTCTTTCATATGAAACATTATTGGTATCTTCAATAATGAAACCACAATCACACAAAATTTTATATGTTCCAATGGTTTCTTTTGATATTTTATCTAATAAATCAAAAACTTTATCAACACCTGTGCATTTATTTAAATAATAATTTGTGTAAATATCATGATCTTCTTTCTTAATCGTATTAGTTGCATATGTCACATTTTTAAGAGCTTTTTTGAATTTCTCAGAATCGAGAGGGGGTGAAAGTAAGATACAAGGGTATTTTTCATTATCAATAAATTGTAACTTATGTTTACGAATAAATTTAGTACCTTCTTCTGAAAGTGTTTCATCTATTTCGCCATCTAATAAATTTTGTGTTGATTCTGAGACATAATTTTTATATCTTTCTTCATGAGATTTCTGAACTGCTGATTCTGAAGCTGGGATATTCATTAAACCCTCTACTTCATTTTCAACTTCTCTTATTTCCTTAATTTTTTCATCTTTTTCATCTCTTATTTTTTCCAGTCTTTCAATTTCATCGTATTCATCATCTTTAATCCGTTCTTCATAATATTCAGGGAAAACATCAGGTTCTTTAGGTTTTTCTTCTTAGATGTGGGATATAAGAAATTTATAACATCATCTTTATTCAGTTTTCCATCATAATCTAAATCATTTAATAACTCGGCAAATTTTTGACAATTTCTTAAATAATATTTACTAACTTCATAACACATCTCATCTAATATATCCTTTATTTCCTCGTTTGTGAATCCCAATTTTTTAACGTCGTTAGTCTTGACGCTCATTTCATACGAATTAAAAAAATAAAATAATAAACATAACTAAGTTTTAATTTTTCGTAAGACATGAATTTTTAAAGTTTATTTTTTATTTTTTATTTCATTATGTATTTCATTATGGTAGTGAATCTTTCATTCATGAAAATAATTATTTCTAATTTCTTTTACTCTCTCGTACATACTAGATTTGAAGAATTCAGAACTTTTACCATAATCTCCTAAATGTTTTCTTATCCCTAGCGTGTGCCAGTTATTATATGAAACTGAATAAACTTTATCTTTATCTTTACACCTTTCATCACTTCCAATATATTTATATCTCAGTTTTGATTTAGCATTTTCATATTCATTAACGTTTAATAATTCACAGTCTTCCTTTTTATAATGTTTAAGATATTCAGGATTTAATACTCTACGTTTATATGCTCCTAACTTAGTTCTAAAGGTTTTTCTACAAAATTTAGGAATTCCATCCTCTTTAATGTCATCAATGATTTCCATTTCATTATTTTCAATTTCTTCTTCTCGTTTATGAGGTCTTTGATTATGACTCCATTGATTCCATGAAATTAAATATTCTTTATCATTATATTTATACCTCATTAGCTTTTTTTGGCTTTCATATTCATTTAATAATTCACAGTCTTCCTTTTTAAATTGAAGTTTAACCCATTCAGGATTTAAACAATGTTTAATTAATCGCGGAATATCTGACATCATCTATATATATAGCTTCTTTTATAAAAGATAAAAAATAAATTATTTTAAAATTAATGTTAATTTTTTAATGATTTATAAATAAATATATTTTAATGCATCGTCTATATATAGATGTAACAAAAAAAGTCACACAACCCTTCCTATCCTACTACTATCCTCAGAAAATTTGGGTAAAAAAGAAATTTCCATGGAATCATGTGGAAGTATTATTTAAATATTTAGTTGTTTTATTGTTAAAGCTGAATAAAAAAAACGTCTGGTACAAAACCTAGGTGAGAAATTCTGACAATATATGGATGAAACTCATAGAATTGATTCAATGTGTCTTTTCAAAAAGTCTGATTCTCGCCTAGGTTTTGTCACGCAATTTAGAATTGTGGTTGTGATCTGAATTTTTTTTCGGCGTCAATAAGTTAGGCCTTGAAAATTGAATAGTTTACATATTTCCCACCAAATATAGATCAAACATTTTTTTTTTGAAATTTAATAGGGAAAATAAATTCTACATCAAACACAGATATTAAAAACATTTAAATTATAATTTACAAAATTACCTATAGACAAATATTAATGTCTGAGAAAGACATTCACCCAAATAAATACAGTAAATTGCGAAGTATCTATAGGTACTACATCGATTCGTTTAATACATTGTATCGGCTGAAAATGGAAAACGAAGAAGAAATTAACTCATTTTACAAAATGATCAAAACAGAAATGATTGATTCAAAGAAATGTCTTCCCCAAGATATAACCCGGGATATTTTAAATATCATTCCGTATAATAATCGCTATGCGAAGGCATATTTATATCTTGCAAAACACATATTTGATGATTATCATATCAAAGAGCTCGTCAATGTTGTTACTATTTCAGATTTCTTGTTTTACAAAGAATATGGAATTAAATTAGAAAAGTCTCATAATTTCGAAAAAATTAAATCAGAAAATCTGGAAATTCATACAGAAAATACGATTTACAGAGCAATTATGTATAATGATTTAAAAAGATTCATCTCATTCACTGAAAGAGATGACTTCGATAAAAATCAAATACTCAAAAGCGATTTATATCCAAAATGTGAAAAAGGATTTTCATTACTTGAATTATGTTGTTACCACGGAGTGGTTGATTGTTTCAAGTTATTAAGAACGAAATTTAACTCAGAAATAACTCAAAAATGTCTCAGATTTTCATTTTTAGGCGAAAATCCAGAGATCATGAGTGAATGTTTGAAACAACTACAGCCAGATGAAAAATGCATGAAGTATGCAATCATTTCACACAACATTGATTTTGTTTCTTTCTTAATGAATGAACACAATATAGAAATGGATCCATTTTTTTGCGGACTACATAAAAATCTTGATGCATTTTTGGTTTATTTCGATCAAACTAATGATTATAACATATGTTTTGTTATTTCAGTGATATTTAATATTGTATCCCTTTTCAAATATTTCTTATCACTTGGAGCAAACATCAATGAAAAAACTGAATCTGGGAAAACTGCTCTTCATTATGCAGCATATCTCAATAGCAAAGAAACAGCTGAAATTCTAATTTCGGATGGTGTAAATGTTGATGAAAAAGATAATGATGGACAAACCTCTCTTCATTATGCAGCATATCTCAATAGCAAAGAAACAGCCGAAATTCTAATTTCGGATGGTGTAAATGTTGATGAAAAAGATAATGATGGGAAAACCTCTCTTCATTATGCAGCAATAAATAATAGCTTAGAAACGGCTGAGCTTCTTATTTCACACGGCGCAAATGTCGATGAAAAAGATAATGATGGGAAAACCTCTCTTCAAGCTGCAGCAATAAATAATAGCTTAGAAACGGCTGAGCTTCTTATTTCACACGGCGCAAATGTCGATGAAAAAGATAATGATGGACAAACCTCTCTTCAAGCTGCAGCAAGAAATAATAGCTTAGAAACGGCCGAACTTCTTATTTCACACGGCGCAAATGTCGATGAAAAAGATAATGATGGACAAACCTCTCTTCAAGCTGCAGCAATAAATGATAGCTTAGAAACGGCCGAACTTCTTATTTCACATGGTGCAAATGTCGATGAAAAAGATAACTATGGAGACACCGCTCTTCATTATGCAGCAATGAATAATAGCTTAGAAACGGCCGAACTTCTTATTTCTCATGGTGCAAATGTCGATGAAAAAGATATCGAAGAAGTCACAGCTCTTCATGCTGCAGCAATAAATAATAACAAAGAAACGGCCGAGCTTCTTATTTCACATGGTGCAAATGTCGATGAAAAAGATAATGATGGACAAACCTCTCTTCATTATGCAGCAATAAATGATAGCTTAGAAGCGGCCGAGCTTCTTATTTCACATGGTGCAAATGTCGATGAAAAAGATGACTATGGAGACACCGCTCTTCATTATGCAGCAAGAAATAATAGCTTAGAAACGGCCGAACTTCTTATTTCTCATGGTGCAAATGTCAATGAAAAAGATAACTATGGAGACACCGCTCTTCATTATGCAGCGATGAAGAATAGCAAAGAAACGGCCGAACTTCTTATTTCTCATGGTGCAAATGTCGATGAAAAAGATGACTATGGAGACACCGCTCTTCATTATGCAGCAAGAAATAATAGCTTAGAAACGGCCGAACTTCTTATTTCTCATGGTGCAAATGTCAATGAAAAAGATAACTATGGAGACACCGCTCTTCATTATGCAGCGATGAAGAATAGCAAAGAAACGGCCGAACTTCTTATTTCTCATGGTGCAAATGTCAATGAAAAAGATAACTATGGAGCCACCGCTCTTCATTATGCAGCGATGAAGAATAGCAAAGAAACGGCCGAACTTCTTATTTCTCATGGTGCAAATGTCAATGAAAAAGATAACTATGGAGCCACCGCTCTTCATTATGCAGCGATGAAGAATAGCAAAGAAACGGCCGAACTTCTTATTTCTCATGGTGCAAATGTCAATGAAAAAGATAACTATGGAGCCACCGCTCTTCATTATGCAGCGATGAAGAATAGCAAAGAAACGGCCGAACTTCTTATTTCACATGGTGTAAATGTCGATGAAAAAGATAATGATGGAAAAACCTCTCTTTATGTTACAGCAATAAATGATAGCTTAGAAACGGCCGAACTTCTTATTTCACACGGTGCAAATGTCAATGAAAAAGATAATAATGGACAAACCTCTCTTCATGCTGCAGCACAATATAATAAAAAAGAAACTGCAGAAGTTCTTATTTCACATGGTGCAAATATCAATGAAAAAGATAATAATGGACAAACTGCTTTTCATTATGCAGCAAGAAATAATAGCAAAGAAACGGCCGAGCTTCTTATTTCTCATGGTGCAAATTTCAATGAAAAAGATGACTATGGAGCCACCGCTCTTCATTATGCAGCAATGAAGAATAGCAAAGAAACGGCCGAACTTCTTATTTCACATGGTGTAAATGTCGATGAAAAAGATAATGATGGAAAAACCTCTCTTCATTATGCAGCAATAAATGATAGCTTAGAAGCGGCCGAGCTTCTTATTTTACATGGTACAAATGTCGATGAAAAAGATAATAATGGACAAACCTCTCTTCATGCTGCAGCACAATATAATAAAAAAGAAACTGCAGAAGTTCTTATTTCACATGGTGCAAATGTCGATGAAAAAGATAATAATGGACAAACTGCTCTTCATGCTGCAGCACTGAATAATAGCTTAGAAACAGCCGAACTTCTTATTTCGCATGGTGTAAATATTAATGAAAAAGATAATGACGAACAAACCTCTCTTCATTATGCAGCAATAAATGATAGCTTAGAAGCGGCCGAGCTTCTTATTTCACACGGTGCAAATATCAATGAAAAAGATAATGATGGGCACACCTCTCTTCATGTTGCAGAAATGAAGAATAGCAAAGAAACGGCCGAACTTCTTATTTCTCATGGTGCAAATATCGATGAAAAAGATAATGATGGAAAAACCTCTCTTCATTATGCAGCACAATATAATAAAAAAGAAACTGCAGAAGTTCTTATTTCACATGGTGCAAATGTCGATGAAAAAGATAATAATGGACAAACTGCTCTTCATGCTGCAGCACTGAATAATAGCTTAGAAACAGCCGAACTTCTTATTTCACACGGTGCAAATGTCAATGAAAAAGATAATAATGGACAAACCTCTCTTCATGCTGCAGCACAATATAATAAAAAAGAAACTGCAGAAGTTCTTATTTCACATGGTGCAAATATCAATGAAAAAGATAATAATGGACAAACTGCTTTTCATTATGCAGCAAGAAATAATAGCAAAGAAACGGCCGAGCTTCTTATTTCTCATGGTGCAAATTTCAATGAAAAAGATGACTATGGAGCCACCGCTCTTCATTATGCAGCAATGAAGAATAGCAAAGAAACGGCCGAACTTCTTATTTCACATGGTGTAAATGTCGATGAAAAAGATAATGATGGAAAAACCTCTCTTCATTATGCAGCAATAAATGATAGCTTAGAAGCGGCCGAGCTTCTTATTTTACATGGTACAAATGTCGATGAAAAAGATAATAATGGACAAACCTCTCTTCATGCTGCAGCACAATATAATAAAAAAGAAACTGCAGAAGTTCTTATTTCACATGGTGCAAATGTCGATGAAAAAGATAATAATGGACAAACTGCTCTTCATGCTGCAGCACTGAATAATAGCTTAGAAACAGCCGAACTTCTTATTTCGCATGGTGTAAATATTAATGAAAAAGATAATGACGAACAAACCTCTCTTCATTATGCAGCAATAAATGATAGCTTAGAAGCGGCCGAGCTTCTTATTTCACACGGTGCAAATATCAATGAAAAAGATAATGATGGGCACACCTCTCTTCATGTTGCAGAAATGAAGAATAGCAAAGAAACGGCCGAACTTCTTATTTCACATGGTGTAAATGTCGATGAAAAAGATAATGATGGAAAAACCTCTCTTTATGTTACAGCAATAAATGATAGCTTAGAAACGGCCGAACTTCTTATTTCACACGGTGCAAATGTCAATGAAAAAGATAATAATGGACAAACCTCTCTTCATGCTGCAGCACAATATAATAAAAAAGAAACTGCAGAAGTTCTTATTTCACATGGTGCAAATATCAATGAAAAAGATAATAATGGACAAACTGCTTTTCATTATGCAGCAAGAAATAATAGCAAAGAAACGGCCGAGCTTCTTATTTCTCATGGTGCAAATTTCAATGAAAAAGATGACTATGGAGCCACCGCTCTTCATTATGCAGCAATGAAGAATAGCAAAGAAACGGCCGAACTTCTTATTTCACATGGTGTAAATGTCGATGAAAAAGATAATGATGGAAAAACCTCTCTTCATTATGCAGCAATAAATGATAGCTTAGAAGCGGCCGAGCTTCTTATTTTACATGGTACAAATGTCGATGAAAAAGATAATAATGGACAAACCTCTCTTCATGCTGCAGCACAATATAATAAAAAAGAAACTGCAGAAGTTCTTATTTCACATGGTGCAAATGTCGATGAAAAAGATAATAATGGACAAACTGCTCTTCATGCTGCAGCACTGAATAATAGCTTAGAAACAGCCGAACTTCTTATTTCGCATGGTGTAAATATTAATGAAAAAGATAATGACGAACAAACCTCTCTTCATTATGCAGCAATAAATGATAGCTTAGAAGCGGCCGAGCTTCTTATTTCACACGGTGCAAATATCAATGAAAAAGATAATGATGGGCACACCTCTCTTCATGTTGCAGAAATGAAGAATAGCAAAGAAACGGCCGAACTTCTTATTTCTCATGGTGCAAATATCGATGAATAAGATAAGAGTATATATTCAGAAGTGACAGAATTTTAAACGAAAGCTCTCAATTTTTTTTATTTTTTTATTTTTATTTTTTTATTATTTTTTTTTAAATAATCAAATGTCTATAGGAAAAATTATTTATTGTTGAATGTTAGGCCGTGAACAGAACTCATACAAAGGAAGATCATAATTGATACGCCCAAGATGAAACATAGCATAAAAAAATTTATTTATGATAGTTGGTTAAATATAAGCATTTATATATGGGTGAGGTCGCTCATGTGTTTTATATGAAGACATTAAAATGGTTTAGGTTTATTAATAAACTGTTGAAAGAAATTTATTAAATAAAGTTAGAAATATTAGATATAAGAAATAGTAAATGATAAAATATTTATACTATGTATGAACATTGAGAGTTGAAAGATCTTAAAATATCTCTATTGGACCCGGTCTTGAGTATGAAATATGCAGGTCCTGACTTAGGCTGAGACCATATTTCTTATACCGGATTCTTTTAGTGTACATTTAAGAAATCACTTTGTAATTAACTATCACTTTGTTGATTTTATTTTAAATAACTTTTATTTTATTTATAATCTAATGAGCGTTCACAATATTTTACATTTACCAAAAGAGACTGTATGCCTCAATTGTTTTAGTTTGAAAACAAGAAATTTTACACTTTTATTGCGTTTTATATAGGAGTGAAGCCTGTTAAAAATGCAATAAAAGTGTAATTATCTAACTAATGATTATTTTTGATTCTAATACCGAACAGCATTTGAATCAAAAATAATCGTATGTTTGATAATTTTTTCATTCACCTTCTCATATGAGAGTAATCAATTTTGTTTGCAATTATATTTGCGCCATGTATTATAAGAAGATTGAAATATCTCATTGAAGTAACTAATTATTATACTGTTTTTTAATCATAATTTTCTTTAATTCTTCTTTTCTCTTTTCATCAAGTACACTCATAAGTGCAGAATGAGCAATAGCTGTGCAGTTACTGATTGATTTATCTTCAAGATATCGTAATTCATAAATTTTGTCAACAAAATCCGTAGAAATTAAAGAAGAAAGAGTTCCGCTGTTTCCTGTGTTTGAGAATTCATCACATATTTTGGTAAAACACATTAAAACAGGGTTAACAACAAGAGGATTCTCATCATCAAGCCAATCAAGGAAAACATCTAAAATTCCATTAGAAACAAGACAAAAAATAAAATTAAAATTTTTGTAAATAATAATTGTGGAAATTAAGTTAATGATTTCCACTTTAATATCAAATGAATAAAGATTGGAATTAGTTATAAGTAAATCTATGTATTCAGTGTTCATTATATCCCTAGATATAGTTGTAAATTCATGAATCCATAAGTTAATTAATCTGATTAAAGAAAGTATCCAGAAATCATCATGTTTTTCAACAATAAGCTGCATTATTTGAGAAACTAATTGTTCTTGTATTTTTTGGAGTCTGTTTTCATCAATAGCTTTCATAAATTTTTCAAAAAATTTGAAATCTTGTGAACAGCGGAAAAGAAGGAAAGAAAGAAGAATTATGATGCTTATTGGTATCTGACTGCCTGAATCATTGAAAATAAAGTCTATTCTGTTGACTAAATCTTGAATTAAAATTGGATCAAAAATTTTGGTTGAAAAAAGGAAGAAAATGCGTGAAAATGGAGGATATATACTATCTCCATATATATATTGTATAAATTTATGAATGTATCTATCTTATATTCATTGATAAAGGCAATTCCAAAATCAGAATCAAAATCGAAGAGATTTGCGAAAACGCAGAGTGCATTGTTCACGATATCTGCATTATCAGAGTAAATTGCTCCTTTAAAGTCATCTAAAATAGAACTTTTCGCTAAAAAATACGGTTCAAAGAAATTTTTTTCTCTTGTGAGCAATCTTGCTATGCGTAATGCAATTAAAACGATATATTCATTTGTGTTATGTGCGAAATCGCATAATATATCAGCAATGTTCTGTAATAATTCTTGATCTATGTTTATTGGTTTGAATTTCTTAGTAACAAGTTCTTGAAGTGTTATAATCATCTGATTGATGGCTTCTTGTGGTGAATTTGATTGAATTTTTTCCTTTAATTGATTCAAATAGTGATATAAAGCTTCTTCGTCAAAATATTCACATTCTAACAATCTTTCCTCTAAACCATTCAAGAGAGGCTTATCATTTTCTATTGGATCAGTTCCAGAACCTTGTTTATAATCTTGGTCATCCATAGAAAAATGACAAAATCATTGAAATCTAGTTTTATGTGAAGAATTACAATCACCAACCATTGTAATGATGATTTGCAAACATAAAAAATTCCAAATTTTTTTCAAAATCTAAAAAATGATGAATTTTTATTTGAATTTTTTTTTTCATTTTTATATTTTCGAATTTTTTTTGGAATTATTTTGTAGAGATTTTCAAAAAACAAAAGATAATCATATGGGGAATTATTAATTTCTACATCATTGCTTGCAGATGTGATTATATCATTATAATATTCTTGATATGCGTTGATATATCTATCAAAACTTGTAGCTGAAAGTGTCTTGGAATTATCATATGAGTATAAAAAATTGACAATCAGAATCTTGTATTCTATCCAAATTAACTCAAATTTATAACAGAGAACATTAATTTATAATAAGAAGCTTTGAATACCTTGTGGAAAATCTCCAAACTAACTTAATTACAGCGTTAATTATAAAAATAAAAAATTTATTTGAAATAAAAATGATAAAAAACAGTTTAATGTAATATAGTATATCAATGAAGTTTTGATTGAAGAATTTGCGCAGCTAATTCATCTTCATCCATTGAGATTATTGATTGATCAGATATAATTGAACTTTGTTTCTTTTTTGTCATTCGTTTCAACTCGAATGAGAGTTGTGCATTCTCAGATCTAAGTTCTTCTGCTTTGTTTCTAAGAAGTTGAATCTCTTGATCAACATTAAAAGCTTTTGCTGAAGGATTTGAAAGCTTTTGCAAGGATTGTAAGTGGGAAAGCTCTTGATTTTTAGCTTGTAAACGAGATTTCAACGTCTTTATATCTCTAAATAGGGTTTCTGATTCCATATCCATCTTTTCAATATTTTTCTCAGCTCTTTCTATTTCACTGTCAAGCTTTTTAAGAACTTCTGTACAGCTATTATGTTCTTCAAGCAGTTTTTGGTTCTCGCTATGAACTAGATTAAAATCATTTGTTAATTCTTGTAACTTTTGCTGTCTTTCTGCTATTTGTTGATCCAATTCTGCATCCTTATTAGTAAATATCATCATTTCGTTTTCTGCCTTCTGTTTTGCTGCTTCATATTGAGCATTATAATTTTTAATCTTACGATCAAGTTCTCGTTTGAGGCGGTAATTCTCGTTACTTAGACCTGACTTCATAAATTTTAATGAGTTTACAGTAGCATCTAGATAAAGTCTTAAAGATTCTAATTCGTCAATGGCAGAATTAGATTTTGGTGTATCATCCTGCTTTACATTTATGCTTTTTCTAATGTCGTAAATGAGTTGCGCATATTTTTCGTTTTCTGGATCATTCGAAAAATCTCTTTTATTTTCTTGTAACGATTTAAGCTGATCTTTTAACCTTTTATTTTCCTGCACTATCTGTTGATAAGCTTCATATGATTTGTTTGTATCTAGATACTCATCTGGAATCTGAATTGGCTGATTTTCTGCGAGTATTTTTTCTTTCGCTTCTTGGTACTTAGCAATTAGGTCTTTGTCGTCTAATGATGCAATTATTTTCTCTGCTAAAATGAGAGATTGCTCATAAATTGAATCATCTATCATTTTATAAGAAAAGTGCACGTTTAAAAATAAAATGATATAATTTCCTGAGTGATAATCTAAAAGTTAAAAGTTCACAGTAAAAAATGATTCGATATAAGCTCTCTAAGGATACTGGATTAGAAAATGTTACAAAATATAAAGACCAGTATTTATTTGGATATCCTTGTCAGAGTACGTCAGCCGACTGCAGCCCATATACCATCCATATTTCCTCTGGAAGTTATCTCTTTGAAGCATGGGGTGCAAGAGGCGCTTTTGGAATATGGAATAAGGTAAATTCCATTCCAGGACTTGGTGGCTACACATCCGGTGTGTTGACAATAACTAAACCTCTAACTCTGTACCTTTATGTTGGTTCCACTTCTTTTTTTAATTCGTTTTTTTCTGCAAAAATGTCAGGTGCATTTTTTGGCGGTGCTTCGTCTGATGTCCGCTTGTATGCTAATGAATCGTTTGATTGGTCAAATCCTTTATCTCTTCGCTCACGAATCATGGTCTCTGGCGGTGGTGGTGGGGCTGAATGGCCGAATAGCATCGGAGGAAATGGAGGAGGCCTTGAAGGTGGCTCCGGCAAATCTGACTGTTCTTTAGGAGGGATGCGTTGTTCAGGCCTATCAGGCGGAGGAACTCAGATATCAGGAGGAACACCCGCACCATCGAATGGACAAGTTTACGGAATTCCTGGTTTGTTTGGGATGTCTTCATTTAACTATTCCTCGCCAGATTTTGGCGCAGTTGGTGGAACTGGATACTATAGTGGCGCATCAATTGAATTAACTGGTGCTGCCGGTGGAGGAAGTTCTTTCATTTCAGGTTATGAAGGTTGCATTGCACTAAATAGTTCCGTAGATGAAACTCCAAGTCCAGTAAATTCATCGATCCATTACTCTGGAATTTACTTTACTAATCCAATAATGATCCAAGGAAACCAAATGATGCCATTGTACTATAATATGACATCATATGGCATTGGCAACAATGGAAGTGGTGCTATTCGTATCACTATTCTATCGCAGAATATCCACACATGTAATTATTTACAATCGTCATTTAATATGTATTTGATTTTTGATTCAATTTTGACTGTTAACACATAAATATTTGCCTATAGTAACTTAGTAATTCGATACTTATTTCATTCAATAGCGTTTTTGAATATAAATTAAATCAAATATAATAAAAATAAGATAGCAATTATCTAAAACACATAGTTTTTTAAAGCTGTGAGATATATCTTTATGCTAATTCAAGTGATTCCCAAAGGGAAGTGTCACTTTTTAGAGGGGAAGTAGATTTTAGTTTCCTTTTTTAAAATCATTGAAAATGAAATCTTTAGTTGATGTATTTAAAGCAGGTGATAATCATGACGAGGCGCTGATTGCATGTCTCACTGGTATTGCTGCCTGTACAGATAAAGAAAGGGTTTTACCTGTAATCTTCGAAGAATTAATACTTGAGCATGGCGAGAAATTAAGAAACATCAGAACAATCGAAAAAACTGAGGATATAGACTTCACTCCATTTCCAGTTCCAGAGCCAGAACAAGTAATTATTCAAACTCAGCAAGTCTCAGTATCTCAACCTACAACTACGCAGCCAAATTCAGAACCAACGCCAGTACCTAACAGAATGACTGTTCAAAGTGAGCGTTTCAAAGCTAAAGGACTTGATACAGTCAGAACTCCCGGATTTCAAACAGCATTAGCAGCAACTGGTAAGACAAAAGAGAATAAAGAGGAAGAAATAGACGAAAGATTACGTGGAGTTGATCCAAGACTTTTAGAAATAATAGAAAATGAAATTTTAATCGGAAATCCAGGCACAAAATGGGAAGATATTGCAGGCCTAGACCATGCAAAGCAAGCTGTCCAAGAAGCAATCATTTTACCAATGAAATACCCCGACTTATTTACCGAATTACGTGAACCACCTCGTGGAGTTCTTTTCTTCGGTCCACCAGGTACAGGCAAGACCCTCATTGCCAAAGCCTTAGCCACAGAAGCTCAGTGCACTTTCTTTAACATATCAGCCTCTTCATTAACTTCTAAGTGGGTGGGTGAAGGAGAGAAGCTCACCAGGGCACTTTTTGCCTTGGCCCGAATCAAAGCGCCTTCTATCGTATTCATAGACGAAATTGACTCAATTTTGACAAAAAGAGGCGACAACGATTTCGAAGCATCCAGGAGAGTTAAAACCGAGTTCCTTCTACAGTTCGAAGGTGTAGGGAGTGGAAAAGAGAGAGTCTTGATCCTTGGAGCAACAAATAGACCTCAAGATATTGATGATGCGGCGAGAAGAAGATTTACGAAGAGAATCTACATCCCATTACCTGATATAGCAACACGTGGCCAATTAGTAAGAATTCTCGTCAAAAGAGCTTCAAATACGTTGAATGAAGAACAAATTGACAAAATTGCAGAGATGACTGATGGATACAGTTGTGCTGATATGACTACTCTGTTGAAAGAGGCAGCAATGGTTCCTTTGAGAGAAACAACATTTACAAGTGGCGTAAAACCAACAATTAGACCTTTATCTTTCGAAGATGTTGAGAAAACTCTCAAATCTGTCAAACCATCTGTATCTGCTGATTCATTGGTACAATATGTTGAATGGAACAATGAATTTGGTTCAACTGCAATGTAATCTTTTTAATAATTTTTTTTTGTTTTGTTATTTTGAGTAAATACTATTATATATATCATTCACATTTCTAAACAACCTGAACTTCCTATTAAATACAGAATTACTGGATAATAAATATCTTGAATCTCATATTTTCTAAACTTCAACTACATCACAGCTCAAATTTGAGAATTTATGTGTTCAAACCTATTTGGTACATCTAATGATGATAGACTATATTTAGACTTTGATGATTGGTAATTGTTAGAAAAATATGGGTAACTGGATATGCCACTTGTGGATTTAGATGATATAGCATTAGATAACAAAACTCACAAGTTTATATTTAGATGTTTTTATTTTTTTTTTAATCAAATTTGCTGTAAAAAATATGATTGACTAAACTCAAGCTCATGAACTTCAGCACAAACTTACAAGGTCTCCTATGGTACTTAGGTGTGTACCATCAAGTTCTAGATTGGGAAATTGTTAATTTTAATTGTAAAACGGCATCTCAAAAATCACTTTAAACTTGTATCTAAGTAGCTGTGTATTTGTGGATTATTTGGAAATCAGTCGTGCGGAACTTTCATGAAAGAATATTTGCAGTTAGTGTACGCTAACAAGAATGATATCTAAATGAATTGAGAGCTAACGTTACATGGAAATAAGAGAGCAAAATTTAAGTGGTATTACAATTTCCAAGTATTTTTTATCAAGAATTCGTAATTATAATGAAATGATAATTAGAATGAATATGATAACAAATTCATAGCAGAGTCACATGATGAATGGTATGGAATTTTAGGGTTGCGCAAAATTTTATCAGACCCATCATGTAAACCGTAGATTTGGAATTTGAAAACGAGATGTAAATCATATTATAAAAACGATTTGCTGAGGAAGAGATAACAATCAAAATTTGTAAAATCAATCCGCTTGATGACAAGACAAACCACATTTAATTTTTTCTGAGTGTTTTTTATAACGTTAATTCAACTTTTGAATTAAGCTTTAATTATAGTTAATAAGTTATACAAAACCAACATTTTTATGATTTATCCATAAACTTTATCAAATTTTTTTGATAGTATTGTAAATATTTGCAATTGTTATATATATTCGACGATTTTATCATTTTTATTTTCCGAAGTTTTTCAATTTCTTTTGAAAGTCAATTTATATCGCATAGCAAAAGGATACATATAACTATATATCAATATATTTTCCCTTAAAAAATTAGAATAACCTTTTCTTCTCTTAACTCCCATTCAATTTTTCAATTGTCCAACTAATTTTTGTATTCTCTACAATATCGTTACATATATTATTTTATCAATTTGATTGTAAAAATTTTTCTTCACAAAATTATTTGTGATGACTCCAATTCCAATCCTTCTTGCAATCCTCTTTATAGAAATAGCAATTCATGGCAGTGAACTGTATACATTGTATCAACAACGCACATCCATCCCTGTATTGCTATCAGAAGCCTCTTCATTTAATTATCAATTCAAAAATACACTCGTTAACTTATTAGAAAACATATCTAAAGTTATTTTCTATATTACCATATACAAAACAGCTCATAAAACTTTCAAAATCGTACGTAACAACTACAACTTCTTTACATTTTTAATTATTTTCCGCTATTTACTTGTAATCCTCCCATCAAGACTCATTAAACTATTAGTAATTGATACAAACATCAAGCCTAACATCCAATTATTTGTTCAAAAGCAATTAATAGAGCAACTTACAATTTGGCTTTTATCAACCACCTTTTTGAATATATTAAATTACATCGCTGTAAGAACAAATTCATTTGTGAATGTAGCAGAAATTACTCCTTTAATCGATCAAGTTGAAGATTCACCTGTCAACACTTTCTCATCAGATTCTGATTACTACTATTCATACAGTTCTATTTCTCAAAGTAGAGCTCGTGAGAATAGACGTAGAGCAACAAGAACTTACGCATATAGTAGACCTCTCTATCTTTATCTTGGATTGGTTTTACTAATTTTATTACTTATTCAACCACTTACAGCAAGAATTAACTCTCGAATCGGATCAAAATTCATCATAAATACTGTCTCACATAATAAATTCCTTGGAAGTCTTCAACTCCTCCATGGAATGAACTTCAACAAAATTTTGATCGAGCGAACATATAATACCCCGAAGCAAATTGACTATAAAATAAACGGTTATTTCAACCGTGAGCTTATTATTAGCGAGCCAACAATGATGAAATTGAAGAGCAATGATTTGACAGCAATTTTCGCAAACTACTATTACCTCATGAACAGCCATGAAGAAATGGCTAAGTTCGTTATAAGTTTGATTGAAATTGTTTCACTTTCATTATTATTCAGAAAAGTACTCGCAGAAAGATTCAACAAACTATCCAAAATACCAAAGATACAGATGTCGTATCTATTGCCAATCTATTTGGCCTACGCTTTTCCAGTTCATTTCTTTTTTGAAGTATTAAGAATGAACACAACAAAATACTTCATCATTAAAGGTGATGAGTATGCATTTAAGCATAATTTACCTATTAATGATACCTTAATCAAGGTTTATACATATAATTTAGACTTATTCAGACATTCCCATATTTATTCCTTATTAACCTTTTCCATGCCAACATTGAGTGATCGCTTATCAGTTATCGCTCGAAAAAAAGTTGAACTACAGATAAGTTCATAATTTTATATTTTTGTTTGTTTGTTATTAAATATATGTATGTATTAGTTTTATATCCTTTCTGTATTTATTGATTTGCACTGATATATTGTATTTTTGTGACAATTTTTAATTTCAAAATTATTTTTCTTTGCGGATACATATTTTTACATGTTCATTTAACTTTTCATATAAAAGGCTTTCTATTTGTATAATCACAATGTATGCTCAATTTTTGTACGTTTATGGAAGAATGAAAAAGAAAGAAGATTTATCAGGATTGAGTCAACGGAAAACAGAAAAAGCAATATTTGAAAGAAAACAAATCATTGCTCTTCAAGATGAAGAAATAGCTAGACTCAAAGATGAGCATTTTATGCTACTTCGACAAATTCAAACAACAGAAAATCATTTTGTTAAAGTGAATAAACTATATAATGAACGTACTACAAAATTACGTGATAATATTCAATCAATTTCAGCAAAAAGAATACATTCAAGAATTCAATTATACAAATCACATACAGATCAAATTACAAAACTTAGGACAGAACATCAGGCAGCATTGAAAAATATCCAAATAGAATATGATCAAAAAATGAAGGAAGAAAAAGAAAAACCAATTACATTGAAAGCAGACGGCAGGCAAACTTCTGTAGAAGTTATTGCTGAGTCTATAAATAGGATTAATACGCTCACACAGCAGGCCTTACAAGAAAAAGAAGCTAATAAAAACGAAATTATCGAAAAAAGATTAACCGAATACAAGACTCATATTGAGAATTATAGGCAAAAAGAGCTAGATTTGAGACAGCAAATACAAAATGCTCAATTTGAACTCGAAGAAGCAAGAAAGCGAAATGAAATCAGAATTGAAGAAGCCAAAGAGCTAGCTCAAAAGCGTGCGTTAAGGAATGAGCAAACAGCTGCAAAAACAGATGATTTAATGATCATGCAACGTGCCAATAATGTTTCTAGACTTAATGAAATCAGAGTTAATGAAATCCAAAGTCTTGAAAACTTGAAAGCTGATTTAAACGAAGCAAAGAAGAAAGTTTTCGAATTAAAGACAAAAATCACAGATGCAAATGTCAGTGAAATCCGTGAGAGCAAAAAGGCACAAGAATCTGTTGATAAACTCGTAATTCAATTAGATTCATTAAATAATCAAGATATAGCAACTCATATTCAACAATACGCAGAGAAAGAAAAGGAAGAAAAAAGAAAGATGCATAAAATAAAGAAGAGTCTTGAATCATTAGTAAATCAAAGAGATTTGCTCATTAAAGATAATTCAAGATTGAGAGATGAAATCAGGCGAATTGACTTTATGCTTTACGGAAGAAATGGTATTCATCAAATTCAAAAATCTTCCAGGAAACGTCCATTTGTTCCAGTTGCAGCTCATTAAATATCTTTTTTATACTTTTTTTGTTTGTATGTAAAAATAAAATGCTATTTTTTATGATAATCACATTAAAATAAATACAGTAATATAAGAAAATGAAACACGAACAATACTATGATAATCATTTTTACATGAATAACCTTCACAAAAATTTAAGGAATCAATTTGAAGTCCAGAAGACTTTAACAACTTAACAATAGCTTTTTTACTTGTTCCTTGAATTAGAACTCCACATTTCAATTGAGGACAGTCCAAGAACGCATTAGATCCAATGCTTTGTATACTGGATGGAATAGTAATTTGTTTCAGTGATGTACATCCTTGAAATGCACTTACACCAATACTAGTGAGTGAATTTTCAGGCAGCATTATAGACTCTAGATGCGCGCAACTTATAAATGCACTATCTTCAATGTGCCGAACACCTTCAAGAAGAGAGAAGAAAACACGAGATGAAGCTGGTGGATAGATATGCATTCTGTATCTATTACTACTATAAATTGCACTACTTTCACAAAGGAAGTTTTGAGATTGGAAAGTATTTACAGTAGAAAACTTTGAGCAGCCATCGAAAACTCCAAAGCCAATGCGACTAAGTTTGCTACCACTTCCTATATGGATGGAAACAAGTTGGCTGCATCCTCTCAAACACTGGTCATCAAGAATTACAACATTGTCTGGAATATCGAGAGATGTTATTGCTGTGAAGCTGAGTGACTCTTGGCCTATGTTTTCGCAGTTACTTGGAATCCTAAACATAGACAAATGCTGACAGAGTGCCAAATCCAATTGTTCCTGAAGTAAAGGTAACTTGAACAAGTCCACTGTTCATGAAACAACCTGAACCGACAGAATTTACATTCTCTGGTATAATAATATTCAGCAAAGATGTCAATCCACTGAAACATTTGATACCTAAACTTATTTGTGACGTAGTTTTAAATGATATTGAACTGATTTTCTCACAATTCAAGAATGCATTGTCTGATATTTTCAAAGGTGCAGATGACGAAAATGAGAGCGATGTAATATTCTTGCAACCTTGAAAAGAATTCGATTCAATTGATGTGAGATCTGTTTGGAATTTAATATCACCTGAAATCAGCGCCCCAGAAAATGCTGAATCACCGATTGACTTGATTTTAGAGCCAAAAGTAAATGTTTTCAGATTTGAACAGCCTGAAAATGCACCCTGTTCTATAGTTTCTAAATTTGATTCGCCATCAAATGTAACAGATGTCAATGTCAATTTATTTTGGAATGAGTTCGTCTTAATTGTTGTAACAGAGTTAAGGAGAACTATTTCTGATCTTGATCCTAAGTATTGCGATATAGACTTGTTTTTGTCGATGTAAATAACATAAAAGTCATCAAAATAAATGAATTCATTGTTGATGGAAGAAAATTTCATATTCGGATTAGAAGGTAATGCATTTCCTCCCAACGATCTTAATGACTTTGGCAATGTAATGTTAGTTAAATCATTACAATTTGCAAATGCTTCTTTGTTAATAGTTTCAACACTATCTGGAATAACAACAGATGTTAATCCACTAGAATAGAAACAATTATTCCCAATTGTTTTTAAGGATTTTGGGAGAGTAATTTGTTTAAGATTTGATGCCCCATAAAAAGCCCAAGTTGCTAATGCAGTAACTTTATCAGGGATGATTATTGTTGAAAGTTGAGTACTTGCAAAACATCCATTGCTTATTGCAACAACATTAGGATCAATGGTATAACTGTCACCACAATTAGAAGCACAATATAAAATTTGTGTTTTATCTAAATCATAAACAGCTTTTGTATCACAGGATAAATAAGCATTTTTATTGTTTATTGTTATTGTCCTCATCGACGTGATACCTGAAAAAGCTAATCCATGAACTGATGAAACGTTCTCAGGTATTTCAAAAGTTGTAAGCTTATCTCCATAAAACACATTTGCAGTTAATGAAGTAAGCTGTGAGCCAGCAGTAAAAGTAATGCTTGCTAATGAGGAACATTGAGAAATTCCAAAATTTAGAATAGTAGTAACTGTAGATGGAATATTAATGCTGGTGATTTTTAACTTATTAAGAGAATAAGAAGATATGGTTTTTAAACCTTCAGGAAGTAGAAAAGTAGCAACTGAAGTGCATTGAGAAAATGCATATTGGCCAATAAATTCTAGATCTTGGCATGATGATAGATCAACACCTTGCAATTTTGAACAGCTATAAAAAGCATAATCATTTATTCGTTTTAATTTCGGTTTCGATTTAAAAGAAAAAGTTTCAAGAATGTCTTTGACTGTTTTAAAGCAATAAGTAATTGAATCAGTGCCACCAAAAATCTCACAATCTCCTGAAATGATTAAATTGGATTTTTGGATGCAGATGGAGTTTAGAGTCTTTCCTCCATCTGCATAGCAATAAGATGGGATTTCAGTCATTTGCTAGAACTTGAATCGGGGGTTTGTAAAATGCATTCTTTCACTTAATTAGGACAATATAGAATTACAATTCTGAATTCCTTTCAATTCAAAAATTGAATAAAATTTATTCGTTTTATATAAGAGAAGGTGTTTCATGGGTATTTTGGCCTCCAATTTAAAATTTTGTATCATTAGGCATATACGCGATGCTTCCCCAATATTTTGGATGACAAAACTCTTAAAATCTGATCCAACTCAATTTGATGAAAAGAATAATGGCACAATTAACAAAAATCCATACTCGTTTTTTGATATTTTAATTCCCGGATTATGTATGACTAATATTAATTTGTAGTTCAAAACACCTTTTAACTCATCTCAAAATCATTCTATTTTTTTTTAAATATGTCTTCAATATATAAACTTTTTTATTCGAGTCAACTATCAATAACATTAGGCAAGGTTATTAAAAGAAATGAAAGATAATTTTGGCATCTTAAATTTTCTGTGCATTTTTTTCCACTGATTATCGTAATTCTTATTGCACCTCGATTTTTATTTCCAATGCCACAATTGATTGTTCCTGAATTGATGAACAGAGGCATTTCGTTATTCCCTTGTATCATTGTGGGATTAAAGAATTTTATTCCAGAATAATGAATTGATGAATTTGTTGGACTTGGGTTTTCATTTAACGAGCTATTCAATGCAACACATCCTTCATATCCTGAAATAAAAGAACTTCCACCACCGCCCGCACCCGCTACTTCAATCGATCCTCCGCTATAATATCCATTTCCTCCTATACCTCCCATATCGGCGCTATTATAGTTCACTGGAGACATACCAAATAATCCTTTAATTCCTATCATTTCATTATAAGATTGGGCAGCCTTTCCCCCAGAAGTCTGAATTCCACCACCAGAAATTGAGTCTTGACATGATGCTTCCCAGCACGGTGAATATCCCTTTCCTCCCTCAAGGCCACCTCCATGTCCGCCTTTAGAATTAGCCCATTCAGAGCCCCCCACCACCCGCAACCAGAATACGCGAGCGGAGTGAGAGAGGATCAGATCAATCAAAAGTTTGATTAGCACATCGGAGGATCCACCCCCAATTCCAAAGAAATAACCCGAACTTGGTACATATATAAACATGGAATTAAAGAAGGAAATAGAACCAATATATAAGTAGAGTGTCAACGAATTTTTTACTACAAGAACGCCTGAGGAATATCCTCCAAGGCCTGGAATAGCATTCTGAGCAACATGAGCTTGACCAGCCGATCCCCATGCTTCAATGAGATATGTTCCACCCATGAGGTTGACAGTATAAGGTGTGCATTCTTCTAAACTGTCACTGCATGGATATCCAAATGTATACTGATTATTAATAACAGTTACATTATCTATGCCTTTTAAAGCCTTTGATAGTCTGTAGTTGATCATTATGCATATTTAACAGGTATGGTTCCAAATATAAATGTGTTCGTAGTTAAAAAGATGTTTGAAAATTCGAATTTTAATAATTTTGATTAATTTTCGAAGATAAAACTTCATTTATGGTAGCCGAGCGGAAAATTTCAATGATTTGTGAATTCTTGTGATGCTATTTGAGCTGGAAATGGTATTGATTTTGGACTTCTTGAATAAAACAAAAATTCAAAATATCTGATCCATTGATTTCTTTCCTTATAAATACATTCTTGAAACAATAATAATCATTCTATGAGATATGGAATATTTGATACGCCGATCAGATTTTGAAATTTTGCCGATCATATTTTGAATATTATAATGAAAAAGCATTCCGATATTTGGTTTTCCGATGTTCGAATGTATACATTGAAATTATCGTAAGATTAGTTAAAAATTCGTTAAGAATTCCACTAAAAATTTTAATCTATCGTTTTCTAGCACCCTTAAAATTTATTAATGAACCGAATTATTTCAGAATTATGTTAGTCACCTTCCAGAGTTATTAGAAAGGGCCAAGCAACTCCAAAGTCGAATTAGCAAATTTAATTTAATCGATTCACAACCAAAAGATATTAGCTTTAACAGCAATGATGAAAACATTCTATCTGATATTTTAGGCAAGTTCGATTTAATTAATTTACATTTTCAAAAATGGAATAATTCCGAATTATTATCATCAGACGAATTAAATCAATATTATGAATTGAAAGAAATACTAGATTCATTGAAGGTTAACTTTGCAGGTACAGATCTTTTATCCAAGCTTACTCAAGATTCAACAAAAAATTCTCAGCCACACTCTTTCTTCCTTATGGATCTGATCAGATCCTGCTTGGAAAACAATGACAAATTGAAGCAGTTTTTTGATAAATCTATTTCCACAATGTTTATGAAGGTTTATCAACAAGATCATGAACCAAGTACTATAGAAGTAGTAACTGAATTTGTTTATTCCACAGTTCCATCATTTTTTGGAAAATTGGTTGGAAATCCTCATCAATGGGAATTAGAATCAGAACATTTTTCCAGCGCATCAGAGTATCTCATTTCAAGAACAATGCCAGAAGATTTAAGAAATAATTGTTTATCTATCTTGAGAACAGTTATGGATTTTAGTTTCAGTGAACAATTTTATGATAAATATGGTGTCAACCAAGAATTTCTCACAAGGAGAGTGAAACAGTATCTTTGGGGATCACGAAAACTGTTACAAGATCAAGTTATTGAACAGATTCCAGAATTCTCAGAACATCTTCGTACAGGTGTCAAATCTTTCGATTTTGACAAGATTGAGATTGAATTCTGTGATAATTATAAAGCAACTGTTGAACCAAAAACGAGTGGTGTTGAATTTGGTGAGATATTATCATTGAAACTCGGAGACGAAACAATTGTCAGTTATTTCATTAAAGGATTTACTGGCTATCCAATCAGAAATCATTGTCACGGATCTGAAGATGTTTGGTTTGAAGAAGAATTTTTTGACGAAGAAAATTCTTTCTCGTCTTGGTATTATCCATATCCCAAATTAAAGGATGCACTTGCTTACAAACTTCTTGAAAGCTTTGGTTTGGGTCCACATGTTGAATTTGTAATTAATCCATATATTTCACGCGGATTTTATATTGCAACTCGAGATTTAACATATGGAGATCAAACATTTAGGGAGCTCGAAAGTGAGCTGATCAAAACCCTCGACTTAGATTATTTTATCTTACTACATTACACGCAACATCCAGAAGAATTTATTGGATTCAAAGAAAGAATTACAACAATTGATATCATTGGCCGGATATTATGCTTAGCAGATCTGAACAAAGGAAATATCCGATTTCTTTTAAAAGGATCTAATAAACATAAACCTTCTTATTTTCTCAGACACACTGCTGATTTACTTCCACAAATCATAGACTTCAAAGTTTTCAAAATGCCTGAATGGTTAAGAGAATATTATGGAAATCAATTCCGTATTGGAGAAAATCATGGAGAGTATAAAGGATTGTGTATAATACCAAAAATACTTCAGTGCAGACCAGATGAAGAGAAATTTCTCATGGGATATAAAGCAATCAAGAACATTAAAGAAATGTTTGAAAATCTAAAACCTGCTGAAAATCAAAATAGTCTTGAAGATAATGACGAAGCTATATTAAGAGAGTTTCTTAAGCAAAAGGCAGATGAAGTCAAAGCAATGTTTCTCAAGCGCAGAGATGATTTACCTGTTCTCAGGAACAGAACGAATGCAGAACTTATCGGCTTCGAGTTCAAAAGTCTTTCAAAATTAAAAGAATCTAAAGATTCTAAAGATTCTAAAGACAATAAATGTGAAGAACATAAACATGTCAAATATATTGAAGATTCATTTGAAGAACTTGACAAGTATTGCGAAGATATCATCTTAAACTATCAAACTCTTAAGAAATACATTAACGATGGATATCATGAATATTATGATGACGAAGGAAATCTCATTAAACATTCCGAATATTTCGAGTACTACCCGAAATAAGTGGCACTTATCTTGAAAAATATATCGTATAAACAATAATTTATAAAACTATTGTTATGTTCCTTCCGAAAGAATTAGAGAAAACAGTAATTCTTTTGGATTGTCTCGATAAGAAGACTGTTATGTTATCTCATTTGAGTTTTTTTAGGATTTATGGGTTAAATAAATTGATGTAATTCAACAGTATGTAATAGATATTAGATTTTTAATGAATTTTTTTAGAAGATTTTAGAGATAAAAAATAAGTTTTTAAAATAGAGTTTGGAAATTAGGGATTTTGCTTGTTGCTTATAGATGATGACTCTATCAACATATCATGGAGATGGCAAATCAATAATTCTGATCTTTGATTGTTGGGAAGTAAAAAAAAAGTTCTATTCAAAAATCCCGATCTCGAGAAAATTTTGAAATTTTACAACCTCAGAAATTTAATCGGAATGGAAACTAGTGTTTATGATAATCAGATCTTCAAAGCTCTTGGCAAATTTAAGTTAATACGTATATGGCCGGATTTAAATGGATGTTTGCAAACTCTTCTTGATATATTTAGCCAATATCCCGATAAAGATTATGTTTCTCACAAATTACTTTTTGCAAAAACGCTTTCGCAATGTTTATCACCCGTTTTACCAGCTGGTATACAAAATAAAGCACTCGATGTGTACTACAAAGCATTTGAAAGAATGGGCGCCGAAAAATTAAATCGTGACTTCTCAGTTTGGGCACCAGGACTATTCCAATTCTTCCATAATACAGGTGTTGCACAAAGAATTCAAGCTTTAAAGCTATTTACTGATTTTTTTATCCCTGCATTGTCATTAAATTCGAAAATTGGTCCTCCTTTGATACATGCTATACTACCAGGCGTCAATGATGATGGTACAGAAGTCAAATCAACTACAATAACGATATTAGAATCAATTCAAAATATTATTGGAAATACAATCTATTGGCAAGCAATGTTTAAATGCGCATTAACAAGTTCATCAGTACGATATTCATTTTTCATCATTGTTTTACAAAATAATCCCGAATCAATAATAAAATTACTTTTTCCAGAGCTAATTAAAGCCATGTTCCTTGCAGTCTTCTTAGATTCGAATATACTTGTTGTCAGAAGTGCTCTCGAGTTCTTCAACAACTCCTATTCCTTAATTGACAAATCAATAAAATTTGATTTAGCGGAAGGATGCTTGTCTTTACTCAAAATCGATGACCAATCAATCAGTAGACGTGTATTCAACTGGATAATTGCATTTCCTGATGATGCAACAAGAGTTGTGTCAAAAAGTCCTTTAATTACAATAATTACTATGCTAAAGAAAGGTGGACAGCCGGAACAAATTGTTCTCACCAAACTTTCGGACATTGTTTCGCGTTCTGACGTCGATATCCAAGTTTTGTCAAATTATATAAATTCATCAACATTAATTCGAGCTTCTTTTGATCATATCGATGCATTACACACTATATTACCCAATGTTAGTATCGAAGTGAAGCTCCAACGCGAAATAATCCTGAATTCTTTGATGAAATTAAAAGAATCTCGAGAAAATGAAGAAGCAAGGAAACTTTGTAACATCTGTGATATAGTAATCAATGGTTTGAAGCAAAGCGAAGATGAAGACCTGATAATAGCTGTTGTAGAACATATTTTCGACCAATTTAAAGATGACGAAATTATTTTGAGTTTTTCAACGAAATTGTTGTCATTTATAGACAAAGAAATCAATTTCGATTTGTTACTTTCATCCAAGGAAATCAGTTTTGTCTGCGTTCACGAGTTATTAAGAATGAGTGAGAAAAATCTTTCAGCACTTTTAGAAAGTGACAAAAAAATTAATTTTTTATTAAAATTTTGTTGGGATGAATTGAAAAACAGATATACGAAGATATCTCCGGAGGAAATCTCCGCAACACTGTTACAAATGCAGAAGAGGTATCCATCTAAGTTCTCAGTTGTTTTAAACGAGTGTTGGGATTTGAATTCAATTGTTTTGTTTATTAAAAACATCCCAGAAATTCCAATCTCAATTTTAGTGTCACTTTTTCAAAGAAAAGAAGACAATGACCAAATATTTTTATTACGAGAAATAGCATGCAGAGGGGAATTATTACTTGGAAATGCAAAAAATGCTATTAACGATGACGATATGAATTGGAGTAAAGTGGTCACTTCATCTTTGACAAAATTGATACGATATGATCCGAAATTATTTTTAGAATCGATTTCGGAGTCATCGTTAGTCAGTTTCACGACATTTCTTTTGTACAAGAAAGAAACTGATGATTTAATTTTTGAAATCTTACAAAATTCAATTTCTGTCACTTTTTTGAATCAAGTCTCACCAATTATTTCTGGGTTTATTTTATCCAATCCGAAAGATGTTTCTAAGCACAAACTTTTATTGGCACTTTCCAAGACGAATTTGCCTCTTTCTCAACTAATAAGTATTATTCCAGAATATCCTTTGTTACTCAGAATAATTGTGCCAATAATAGGTAACCAAAAACCATCTGATATTCACTACAGACAGATGGAAGACTTGGTAATGAAAATAATTGAAATTTCTCATTTGATTTGTTTAAGTGATCCGCTTTTGTCAGATTTTACAACCTTAATTATTTATGTGACAAAATTTGTCAGTCAAGAAGTTACTACTGCGAGAAATAATAACAAGATATCAGGTATAAAGAAACTGTTAGCTAATTACGAAGAATTACCTGAAAATGATTGCATTGCGTCTTTCATTTTGCAGAATTCTGTATCTGATCAAAATTATTCGAAATTAATTCCTTATTATTTGCCAATATTTTATACAACGATTTTGGAAAGGACAAATGAATTAATAACACAGAAATGTATTCTCCAGATGTTTAAGAAACTACAAGGTGTGTGGGATCTATACGTTTTTTACGCAATAACCGTAGGAAATAATTTACAAGTATTGAAATTTGTTTCATCAATTTTGAGTTGTTTAAGTGACACAGAAATTTTGTTGCATCTCCAAAGTGTCATCAAACTACACGCTATACAGATAGATCAGCTATCAAATGAAAAGATACACGCGTTCTTGATTTGTTGCCTCAATGCAAATCGTTTGATTTTCTCGCAAGATGAAGCAATTGAAATATTTTTGTCTGTTTTTTCATCACTTCACTTTTCATCATTACAGACATTTAAGTTCATTACTGTTTATTGTTTGACATATCCCTCATCCAATTTAAGTTTATATACAAATGTTTTGTTGAATGCAATAAATGAAGTCAAAAATCCTGAAATTTCAAACCAAATTTTCGGTTTGTTGTCAGATTTGACACCAAATTTATTGTGTAGTTTATTCTCTACAGAAAATAGTTTTCCACCGCAGTTAATGAGATTTTTGATCCAAACTGCGAACAAAAATTCAATTTCTTATTTAACTTTTATTTCAAAATTTTGCAGTTTAAGCTGCGAAGAAAATGCTTGGGAAGAATTAGTCTTTAGTTTATTACTTGATGTCAATGTTTTCATTAATTCAGATCGTGAATATATCCTCGCTTTAAGCGATACAATCAACTCTATTTCGATGAATGATCGAGACAAATTCACATCATTTTTCTTTGAATTTTTCGGTAATTTGCACTTATGGAAACTTCCAAGAGAAATTGCCAGTCTTAGGATTGCTTTCATCTTCTCATTCGTTATGTTTTCTTCGCCTTTTGATATTTTCGTTTTGAGGCAACAAAATATCAATTCTTTGCTCACAAACATGTTGAATTTAGAGAATTCTAATTCAGTTCAATTCTCTGTTTTTAGTTTGTTGATGAGAGTTATATTTATAAGGAATTCATCTCGATTAAGTGAAGCTTTTTCTTCTATTTTGATTCACGAACTAGGAAATGCGATTCGTTCTAATTTTGAAGAAGAAGAAAGTTATAAATTGTTGAATTCTGCTATGATCAATTTCACACAAAGTTTCCAATTTGAAGAATTTGTTTTCTTCCCTGATTTGATTTCTTTCCATGGAATCGAAGAAATTAAACACCAAAAATATGATGATTCCACAATTGATAATGAGTCATGGCCATTAATTCCAGACTGTGACAAAGTATTGATTCATTTAGATTCACAACACAACAAAGACAAAGAAAAAGAATTGACTGTTGATGATTTCATTAAATTTGTATCTGACCACTTCTCACAATAAGAAGTTTTTGATTATTATAACTTTTATGTTTAATTGTTAGTAATATAAATACTATTTGTTAATTTATAAATAATAATCTCAACTAAGTTTTTGTTCTAATGTTATATCTTGTGAATCAATGCATTAAAAGTTTGTATAAAGATCTTGATATATATAGGTTGAATGTAATCACATATTTACTATCAAAATCTTTATACAACTATTCAATTTTCGACACTTCGAAGTCTATTTTCTCTTGATAGAATATATATCATTCTGCATAAGCATGGCCATAACATGTTCATACCATTGTCTACCTATTTGTCGTTTCAGATATCAAAAAGAAGAGATTTGATCAAAACCTTAAACATTGGAGTTTTCACTGCGAGCCTGCTGATCAGGATTTCTCAAAATTGGTCCATCCGATGTTCATTTTTTATTGAAATAATATGTTTAAATATGATTAAGAGTCTATATCTTCATTATTGAAAAAAGTCAACAACCCAAATCAAGAGGTCTTTCTGCGCTTCACCACACTAGATATTTGAATACTTTTTTTTTGAAAACTTGCGTATAAGATAGTATTGCATCATTGATCATATATTTCATAATATTGGTCGCCAATTCTTTGTTGAATAGATGTAAACTAAGGCAGTGATCCCTTAAGGGTGCACTTACGCCCCTATTACAGGGCCCTCAATTCAAATTAATTCACACCAGTTGTCAAAAATTTGAATTAAAGTCAGATGGGCGTAAGTGCAACCTTATGGTACTCATTTCAAAAAAAATCATTATAAGATTGCTGCTGATATTGATAGTTGCACTATCTAGAATCTAAAGATAATTTTTTTTAATAATTTTTTTCAGAGCAATTGAAAACCCGCTTCATTTATTGGTTTAACCAAAATTAGAAGTTCAATTGTCTCCCAGTAAGTATTTTTTAATAGATTCCTTTGCTAAATTCAGTGCAGTTAATCCACCATTGGTCTTTGCTTCTTTATCAGCACCAATTGAGATAAGATATTTAACAATTTCAAGATGACCATTCCATGATGCCCAAATGAGCGGAGTATACCCTTCTTTATCCTTTGCTTCTTTATCAGCTCCAACTGAGATAAGATATCTAACAACTTCAAGATGGCCTCTTTTTGATGCTAAAATGAGTGGAGTCTATCCATCATTATCCTTTGCTTCTTTATCAGCTCCAACTGAGATTAGATATTTAACAACTTCAAGATGACCTTTCATTGATGCTCCAATGAGCGGAGTATACCCTTCTTTATCCTTTGCTTCTTTATCAGCACCAACTGAGATTAGATATTTAACAACATCAAGATGACCATTCCATGATGCCCAAATGAGTGGAGTATTTCCAAAATTATCCTTTGCTTCTTTATCAGCATCAACTGAGATAAGATATTCAACAACTTCAAGATGACCTTTCATTGATGCTCCAATGAGCGGAGTATACCCTTCTTTATCCTTTGCTTCTTTATCAGCTCCAACTGAGATTAGATATTTAACAACTTCAAGATGACCTTCTTCTGATGCCCAAATGAGTGGAGTATATCCATATTTATTCTTTGCTTCTTTATCAGCATCAACTGAGATAAAATATTTAACAAATTCAAGAAGACCATTTCTTGATGCAAAAATGAGTGGAGTATATCCATATTTATCCTTTGCTTCTTTATCAGCCCCAATAGAGATAAGATAATTAACGACTTCAAGATTACCTAACCATGATGCATAAATGAGTGGCTTATCTAACGATTTTACTTGTTTATAATTACCATTCTTTATAAGAGATTTAATATGTTCGAGATTTTCTTCATCGCATGCTTTAGTAAGGGGATCATTTAAAAACATTAAAATTTTTGACAAGTCAAAAAAAAAATCATTATGAGTTGTGACTATACAAAGCAATATTTCAGACTTTATTGAAACCCATGAGAAGCTTTTCTCCATAAAATCCAATGATTCTGTTGAAGATATTTGGAATATTATCACAAATTTATTGATTTCTAGGATTATTTTAGAGTGGAAAAAAGTTTAAAAAAGCAATCAGAATTCTCTCAATTTTCCACTTTTTTCCCAAATTAATTATTTTTTAATAAGAAATCTTCTGAATTAACATTTCCATTGGAGGGTTCAATCGAATTTATAGTAATGCACGATCAAATTGATAAGCTAAAGAATATATATAAATATCAAAAAGAAATGAAAAAAGTAAAATCTTTTTTAAAGATTCATATTTTGGAGTATGATTATATTGTCCAATTATCATTAATTGAATTCTGTGCTTATTTTGGATCCGCAAACATTTTCTTTTTCATAATTTCAAACCCAAATTATGATATAACAAAAAAATGTCTCCGCTATTCATTAATCGGCAGAAATTAAGATATTATTAATGAATGCTTAAAGAAGAATCAAATGGAGATAAAATGCCTCAGAGAAATCGTATGTTTACACAACAACGAATTTCTTGAATTTGTTTTAAACAGAAATTTGTTTACATATAAAGATTTTGTCAAATCAGGCAATAATTCTGAACCTATTTTCGAAGATATCATCAAATACCAAAACATGAAAGCAGTGTTTCTACTTTTTGAGAGAGAAAAAAGTTGCATTTTCCCTTGGTGTGCTGCAATTTCCCAAACAATAGATATTCTTAGGAACGAAAAACTTCCTGATAAAACAGATTTCCTAAAAAGTAACATTCCACATTATGCTTGTATGTCACAAAATTCAGATATCTTCGGATTTTTATTCAACTCAACTAACAAGTTTGATTTCAATTATCAAGAATAAAAATAAAATGATTGCTTTTTATTTTGCATTAAAGCATGGTAATTTATATACAATAGAAATTTTCCTTTCACATGGTGCCAATATCAATAGTATTTTTGTCGAATCTAAAATACCAATTAAATTATTTCAGAAAAAAAAATTATTAGATTTAAAATTTAAAAATTTACTTCTATGTATAAAAACTATTAATTTTGTTATCTACAGAATAATAATTAGACAACAAAGCATTGTCATCTGTCTTCTTGTAGTAATATATTACTACAATCAAAACAACTATTGCTACAACGCATAATGAACTCAAAGAAATACTTGTAATAGACAAAATTTTCTCTAATTTTGTATTTCCAATAACATGAGAAATGATCATTGCATCAGGAATTGATTCATCGCATTCGAATCCAGTCAAAGGATATCCGAAGAATGTTGTTCCAAAATAATTTTCTTTGACAAAGAAATTCGACAAAAAATCATTTGGATGATAATTAATTTCATCCTGAAAATAAGTTCCATTATAGCAAACAGAATACATGTAATAAGCATTAGACAATGCATCACTTTCTATACTCAAAACAGAATCAGGAACTTTCAAAACAACAGTTCCGAAATCTTTTTCATACAAAATTTGATTTTTCTCTTTTTTCAAATCATATTTTGATGTGAAAGAGAAAGAAGAGATCAAATTAACAGAAGAAGGAACATTATATATCATTGGCATCTTTCCAAATGTCAATATCAATGTGTTTGATGATTTTTCAATCAAAGAATTGTTTTCAATTCTAAAAATTGGATGTGAATCATCTAAAATGATATTAACAGAACAATTAACAAAAGATAAACTAGATATACACAATAATGTATTAGGAATTGTTATTTCATTGAGTTTCGTGTTGGAAAACACAAAATCATTTAATTTAACTAATGATTTTCCAATTTTCACTGATTTTAGCTTTGAAAACATAAAAGAACAGTTGCCAAGCTCACTTAGACTATCAGGAATATCAAACACTTTTATCTGACTCCCCTCAAAACAAGAAAATCCAATTGATTCTAATTTTTTGAAAAAGTGACAGATGTCAATTTTCCTGAATTTTTGAAACAATTTTGAGGAATTTTTTGTATGTTTGATAAGTCTATTTCGAGTAGAGAAGGACAACATTCGAAACAACTCTCTGGTAACTCTGTTATTTCTCGTGGAATTTCGATTTTTTCGACTTTTTCCATAAAAGAAAATCCGAATTTTTTGATTTCTCTCGGTTCTTCATTTCCTGGCAATTCAACGGAGTAACAGAGCTCTTTGATTGATGAATTAGCGAATGAATAACTGTTGATTGTAACAAAATGACCAATTTTCGGTTTTTCCAAATTTGATGACAAAATGAAACAAAAACTTTGGATTTCTTTGATATATTCTGGTACATTATACTCTGTGATGTCATTGTCAACTAATAAAATCATTGTTTCATTGTTAATTATCATTTTTTCTTTAAATTCAAATTTTGAATTTATAAAATTAAAGTTTTTCATATTGAAACAACATGTAAAAGCAAGCAGATTGAAATTAGCATCCGAATTATTGAGCGTTAAGTCAGTTAATAATGTTGAATTATGAAATGCAAAATTTGATATCTGATTTGTTTCAAAAATTGTCAATTTAGTGATTTTTGAGTCCATAAATGAATATTTACCGATCATTCTGATGTTATTTAAGTTAATTTCCTTGATTTTGGTTTTTGCAAATGAATAATCCGAAATTTCATAGATTTTATCAGATAATTCAACTGTTTCTAAGTTGGAACATTGATAAAATGACCTTTCGGATATCATTCCTTCATTAAAAGAAGAATTAATAATTATTGATTTCAAATTTAAGCATCCGTGGAATACAGATGATCCAATAGTGTTTGATTGTATTGTTAATGTCTTTATACCTTGACAGAACTCGAAAACTCTGTCAGAAAGTTCATAATTTTCTTTAATTTCAGAAATTTCGAGTTTGTCGCAATATTGGAATGCACAATCATCAATAGTCAATGAGTTGTCCGGCCACAAGTTTATTTTGAGGTTGTGGCAATGTTGGAACGCATATTGTGAAATAATTTTTATTCCTTCAATATTTATCGATTGGAGAGACGTACAACCAGCAAAGGCGTATTGACCAATGATATGTGATGGTTTTCCTTGGATTGTTTCAAGATTTTTGTTAAAATAACAAAAATAATCTGGAACAAAAAAATCTTGGCCAATTGTCACTGATTTCAAGTTCCCACAGTTCATAAGAACTCCTTTGGCCGAATTCATGGAATAATAATCGCCAAAAATGATTTTTTCCAAATTATTTAAATTTGAAAAAATTTCGGAGTAAATCGTGTAATTTACAACTGTTGTTGGCAGTTCTATCGATTGGCACTTGGTAAAAGAGAATGCGTATGAATTAATAATTTTTATATTTTTATGGAAGGGAAATGTTGATAATTTCGTATTGTAGAATGAGTATTGACCAATAGATTCGAATTTGCTACTTTTGAACTGTACATTTTCTAAATTGATGCAATTATAAAAAGAATAATCTCCAATATTCGTAACATTATCTCCAAACAACACAGAAGTGATATTTAAGCAGTTGTATGCTGTATTCTTGCTTATATCTGCAATTTTGTCGCCAAAAGTCAAAGATTTTATTCCAGATGATTGAAAAACACAGATTCCCATAGTTTCAATGAGATGTAAGGCAATATCTTGAAGATTCATGCACATTTTGAATGCGTAATCATCGATTTCTTTAATATTTTCGAGATTAATTTTTGATATTGAAGTAAACTCAAATGAATTCTTACCAATCTTTTCAATTCCTGAATTCCGTTCAACATTTTGAAGGTTCTGGCAATTTGAAAAGCAATAATCAGGAATTTCTTTTATTTTAGTTGCTGTAATCTTTATTGTTTTCAATGAATCAATATAGCGAAAGCTAGACATATTTTCAATTTCGTCGCCTTCTATATGAACTTCGTTTATATTGTTTTTCAGTATTAAATCGTAGATATGTTGTGTGTCATTTATATCTTTGTTACTACTAATAATCATTGTGTTTCCTGTAATAACTGGTTCTATTGATAGCTTAACATCTTTATTAAGAAACGATTGAATAAGGATTTTGGTACAAAACATTGAAAAAGAAATTACAGGCCACTCAAAAAATTCAAAATCTGAAATTGAGTTAAAAATTATTATGAATGGTATACTACTTTAATCTATTAAACATTGGTTTTTTAAAAGCATCTCAAACAATTCTATGAGAATATTGAAATTTAAGATATGTATGTAACAGTTTTTAATAGATTTGAGGAATGTTCTATTGTTATGTAATAAAAATGATAAATATAAAATGCTGTTGTTTATTCTGAAGAACTTAATTGAAATTTAAACTTGCTCGCCTGATCCTGAGTCTTGTTTAGATTTCTTCCTAAAGACGAAGAGCCATAGGAGAATGCATATGATTGCAATAGCTGCAATTACTGCTATAATAATTCCTATGATAGCTCCGATTCCAAGGCCTTTATTATTAGGATCAGGACAATGAGAATTTTTGAATTTTCTTTCACCTCGTCTTCAGATTTAACTCCTGCTGGTATGTCATAAATGATATCTGCAGCGAAAAAGGATGTTTCTGGTTCTTCAGCTGAACTTTTTGCCTCTTTGATTGTAACTGTTACTGTTACATTTTCTACTTCTTCTCAACCTAAAGATATCAAAGACCGAAGTGTGAAACCTTGAAATTTATTTAGTCCAGTTTCATTACCGCTCAGAAGAATACCATAAACTTTTTCATTATTAGTTTTAACTTCAATTTCTTTCTTCTTGTTACTATAGGATGTCAATGCAAAAGATTTAAATTTTTCATCTTTGAATGAAACTGTATGATTTAACTCCAATGAATTCTTTGTTGTGAAAATTGACAATTGGGTTCCATCCTTTTCGTTAGATACAGGTGTAACTATCGGAACAGCATGAACCCTACACTCTTTTGAATTATCAGAGCATTTAATTATGCTTAAGCATGTATCGCCTGCAACACTAAATGGATTTTCCATCTCTACTGGATTCTCATTAAGATTCTGTGTATTGTATAACGAGACCTTGAACTTATCTACAGATGCAAAAACAAAACTTCCTTTCATACATAATGTTTTTTCGGCTCCAATAGTAATAAGATAACTTTCAATTGCTGAATATGAAGTTCTTATTTCATTGCAGAAAACGCCATCAGGCACGGGCATAGTTTCAACCTGTGGTTTCTCTTGTTCTGTTTCTTCTTCACCTTCTAGACATGGATCTTGGTATACTTCTTCACTTGATTCAACATCTGTAAAAATAGTAATATGTTGATTGGAATAATCATTGATTTGTCTCGAATGATAGCCTCCTTCTGCCTCTGGAATAATAAAGAAAAGGTTTTCGGCAAACTGTGTTGTAAATCCTTGTTCTGGTTGAGTATTTGAATCTGTTTGACATTTAATTTTTACTTCCTCACTAGTGAATGATGAATCATCTTGAGGTCTGTGAACATTTAAAATTATTCTATTTCCGATTTTCTTTGTAGCATCACCATTAGCCTTGATAATAGCTTTACTTTTGACTCTATTAACAGTAAATTTTAATGGGTTTTGGTTTACTGCAATAATTCCCAACTCATTATTTTTATCAATTGTAATTTTCTTATTGAAAGATTCCTTATTAGTAAAAACTTGATAAGTAAACCCTGAATCCGAAGGTCCTGACATTGTAATTCCAACAATTGTTATAATATTTGGGCTGTAAAGATCTCGTGGTCTTAGTTTGATATAGGGTATTTTATCACGACTGCCAATTAATTCTACGCCATCATCATTATGAAAACTTCCGAGTTCTCCATCTACTGTATCAAATCTCCAATCTGCTGTGAATACTCTGTTTGAATCAAAATATATAGACCCTTGAATACATAATGGTGAATATTCATCTTTAGCAAAAGACTTTGTAATAACTTCTGAAGGTTGAATCCGAATGGTATTTTCTGGTGTACAGCCTTCAAATGGGGTATATTGTAAAGAGAATGGGAAAAGTGCAAATAAAGCAAGCATAAAAATGAAAAAAAATTGAAAAAACTGAAATTTTACAGTTTAGGATTTTTGAATGTTAATAGCCTACCAGTTCACTGAGGATTTGGAAAATAAGTTTTTTTTTGATTTTAGATTTTAGCGGCATTTGCACAAAAATTGAGGGGAAGCCTCAATTTTTGGGTAAATACTGAAACTAAATTAAATTCAATGTTGTGCGAAATGCTGAAAAATGGGATTCATAAATTTGATGAATAGTTTACAATTCACAATTTTTTTTGAAAATTTTATGATATTTGTAAGCTATACATAAAATCATGAATCTTTTTTCATTATTCTCTCAAAATACAAAATATTTGACCCCTCAATTTTCAGAAGCAAACAATTTTAAAAATTATCATTATGAGAAAAATTGAATGAATTGAAACGGTTTTTAATTTTGCTCATTATATGAAATTCATGATTCATATTGTGAGCGGAATAAAATTTGCCTCACAAATTTTGTAAAGCTCACAATATGAATAATGAATTTTTGATTTCGATTTTTACGTTGAAAAATTGTATACTTTTAATAAATTCCAGACGAATCTTTATTATTTTATATAGTTCTTTATCCCAACATAGGTTCTTGCCAATCTATAGGTTGAGTCCTCTCAATTTGCCGATAGTTTCTGGCTTTCCCTCCCTATCAAAATAATTGAAAGAACTTTGGGAAATATCTACAAGAGTCGTTATTATAAGGCGATCTGCTCTTGCACTATTTCCGAGATGCATGACAGACTTATTAAATTTTCTCAACATTAAAGTAAAAAATGAAATAATTTTTTAGAAAAATAAGTATAAAAAACAATAAACAATAACAGTGAATATACAAAAACATATTATTCGTTTTGTGGATACAAAGAAGTATGTAATGCATTGTAGAAATCAATGATATTCTGTTCTATTGGTCCAAATTCTTGTAAATGTGTAACGCAATGTGATAATAACTCAAAAAGTGGCTCAATTGATTCAACCTCTGCAAATCTTTTAGCGTAAGTGTTACAAACACCTGAAGTAAGAGCCATGGTATGCTGGCTATCAAATTGCCGTATATGTTGAATCCAGAAATTTGAAATTGTCGCAATACTATTTATTGCCGTTCTTTCCAAGCAAAAAGCAGTGACAACAAGCCATCTAGATATAATTGGGCTTGTTAGTTCTGGTGCATTCTTTGCGAGATTTGCCATAAAAGAGAAAGATTCTTCTTTTGTAAGAGAATTCCAGCGAGAAGGCATAACATGGGTCATTGCATCGACGAATTCGTGGAAGTATGACTGTTCATTCATCGATGATCCGACTTTCGTGTACAGATTGTCAACTAATCCGCAAAGAGATTCATATAAATCGTTGCACATGATGAAATCGACTGTTAAGAGTTGAGTTGCGCGCTCTATGATCGGAGCTGGATCTTGGGTAAACTCCGATTCAAGTTTCTGCAAAAGTTGAGATAAAATTATTGCAATTGTCCGCTGAAGAATATGGTCACAATTATCATCCAGGAATGGTTCCACGAAGTACTCAATTAGTTCTGCAATATCTGCATCCCTGAAAGAGATGTTGCAGTCCAAGTATTGAGCAAATATCTGAATTACTGTTGCCGTTTCGGGCAAACTCTTTACAGCATTGAATAATGGGACAAGCCAATCTGGTTTGGCGTTATCGCATGGCAGAATTCCCTTCATTGTAAAGTAAACTTTGTCTCTAACGTCAGAATCATCATCCAGCATCAAAGGCATGATGACATCGATGACAGAAGCCGACAAGGATGGATCGTATTGGCATATATTCAGAAGACATAATACTGAATCTCCTCTTAATTCATCATTTAAGTGTTGAACGAACAAAGGAATGAATGCATATGGGTCATCTGTTTCTATATCAATAATTGATAATGTTCTGATCACTTGTGCATCATTTGCTTCTGATGTCAACAAAGGAATAATAATTTCGTTGACTTCATCACAATATTTGCAGGATAAGTTGTGTAAAACGTATTGGTACATCAAAGACAAGTTATATTCTTCTTCTTCGCCGGAATTATCGTCTTCTTCGGCTAATCTGTAAAAAAGAGCTGTAACAATGTTTTCATCGAATGGTAGATTGTCAAAGTTATAGAATGTTTCCATCAGATTGATTAAAACATTCTGGCTTTGTGTTCTGATTAAATTTGCGATTAATTCTCCTAAATCTGATTCTCCTGTATGGTAAAATAGGATTCCTATGATTGCAAAGCTTTGTGACAGAGCTTTCACTTTGTATTTTGCAGCGAATTGATCAATTGCTGGCATTATATGTTGAGCACCAAATTCTAAGTATGTTTCTGGCTTTTTGAGTAGAATTTGAGTAATAATTTCGAGTGATTGTTCGCATAGATTTGTTGGAGCATATGATTCTTCAATAAATTTGAGTAAAAATTGAAGAAAATCTTCGTTTGGAAAATTATCTTTCTGTATTTGATCGCGGATGCATTGGAGTCCAATGGATGCTGTATTATCTTTTGATAAAAGATCTAAAATCGCTGAATTTGGATTGTCATAAAATAATTCAGAATAAGAATCAAAAAGTGTTATATATAATGCTTGTAACTGAAGTACAAAAACCGATTCTGGATTATCTATGACAGATTCTAAGTAACTGAAGCAATGTTGTAAAAAAACGGGAAGAATGTCTTCATGGATGCATTTATGATAGTTCCTGAGTGTGGCAACAGCAACAAATCTGATTTGTTCGCTAATTGTTTCATCACTCAAAATTGCGAGAATATCAAACGAAATATTTGGCTCTGACTCTATCATACTTTGCAAATTAGAATATATCTCTCCTTGCACATTAGGATTGAGTGCGGCCTCAAACATTCCCTTCAGATGCTGAATTAAATCCGCATCTAGAAGAGATTCCATAAAATTTTGAAAAATCGGACATTCTATAAAAAACTCGGGCATTCAATATTTTTTGTAATATGCCTTAGTTAAGCATAATAGAACCTAGATAAATATTTAATTTGTCAAGAATCAAAATTTTTTTTCATGAGGATTCTGACATGAAGGATAATCAAAGATGCGTGTATGATGGCAGCACTATAGTACATATGCAATGTTCGAAAACGGGATTTCCGATATAAAAAATTTTATTTATTAATAACAAAGGTAACAAAAAGGTAAATTCAATAAAATATAAACAATATAAAGCATCGAATCATTGAATAAATAAGTCTTTTGATTTAGTTGATACCATATAGTTCATAATTTTTCTTAATGTTATAAAAATAGCTCAATGTTTGCAAATTTTCATTTATTCTTATTCAGGAAATATGATATTTTCAATTTCGATTCAATATTTCAGCAAAATATTTAAAAAAAACAATGCAATTGTTATATATTCAAATGATTGTTTATATAGATGGTGTAAATAAGTATAGATTAATAGTATTTAATTCCACCACCAAAATAATAGTAACCATCGGAACCATCGTAACCATTTAAACAATCAATGAAATCATCTTCAATTCGCATTCTTCCTCCAAGTTTTTCACCTGTGTAGGCATTGAATGAACGATTAACTACAACATTTTCTCCTCTGAATAAACAGCCCTTTTTACCTTGAATAGCATTATCCCTTGATGTTTCATCAGGAAAATATATGAATGCAAATCTATTAGTTGATGTTTTTTCAATTATTTTGCATTCTAAAGGATTATAATCCTTAAAAAAGTCCAATATTTGTCTTTTTGATGTGTTTTTTGGAATAGGACCCATCCACACTGTTTTACATCTGCTCTTTTCAAGTGACTCTGTACGGTACCAAGACATTGATGGGTAATATTAAAGTGAAGTTAAATTTTTCATGTCTTAAATTGAAACCATAATATTCCTGTCTTAAAAATCATGAAAATGCTCAATAAATGGTAATAAAAGTTGGATGCATTGGTCCTGTTATTGTTTTATTAAATATTACAAAGGTGAAATGATCATTGTTGCAAAATTTTTCGTTACAAAATTCAATGAAAAAAAGGTTAAACAGTTCTTCAAACGGCAACTTTAATTAATAGAAAGGAATTAAAATAAACTTCGTTGTAAGAAAGGGTTGCATTTGATATTGCTGGAGGAGTTGATGCAAGTAAGAGAAACCCATTATCTTATTGCAATTACTTAACTCTGAAGAAAATCAAAACAGATTTAACAAAGGTAGTAAAACTAAGATTTAATTTGGAAAACAACTGTATTAAACACTTTTTGATGTAAATGAAACTGATTCATTTAGCTAGATCTGTCTTTAGTTAAATTATTTTGCAAAGTTCGCAAAAATACAATGATTCGCAAGAACAACATAGAAATTAGTTAAATTTTAACAGAATTAAAGAAAAATAACGAAAATTAATGGTTTAAAAAAACCATGAATTATTTCCCTTTGGACTGACTTAAAATTAGTATGAACATAAAGCACTGATCTTATTTAAATTTATATTCACTCTGGAGATATGAAATAAACAACAGTAAATAAATCGGATTAATTGAATTCAAAGGAAAAGTACTCGATTCACTTTTTAGTTGACAACATTTATGAATTGTATTATATTTTAGTAATACATTAATATTCAATGATAAAATTTGATTGGCGGTTTCTGAAGGAATCAGAATATTTTGACAGATTGCCAATGAGTCAAGAATCTGGTAATGCCGATTTTGGATGGCGGTCAAGACATCTCTATTTAATTGGATGTGTATTGGGTAATATATTTACAGCTTATACAAGAACTATGATTTACAACCAAAAGGTAACATCATTTAAAGGATGTCAAGAACAAATTTTCGAAAAACCCTGGTATGGCACACTTTTAATGGCTATTGGTATGGCTTTTGGTAACATTGTCTATAAGTTAATGCTAAAATTTAGTAAAGATCCACCTCCATCGTTTGCAAAAATTCATTTCTCGCTGTACCTTCATGCATTATTCCCGGCTGCATTAGATATAATTTTCACAGTTCTTTATAATATTGCAATTCTTTTAATCGGACCCGTTTTTGCTACTCTTTTGCGTTTTTGCGATATTATTTATGCAACATTTTTACGTAGAATTTGGCTCAAACAAAAATTGCTTCCGTACTCATATGTGTCACTTGCAATTATTATGATAGGCGTAATTATGACTTCAATTTCAATTGCTTATGATGGATTAAAAAAGTTTGAGTATAATTTGAAGTTTTGGGCAGCCCTTACCTTCCAAATTCTCGCCCAATTTGCATCATCTATAAAGGCTATCAGAGAAGAGCAGCTTTTGCACCAGAATGATATACACCCTGTATGGCTATGTGGTGTAGAAGGGTTGTACGAATTCTTTATTCTAACTTTCATGGCATTTCCTATCCTAAGAGTTATGCCCCAAAGATTTGGTCCTGGTTTGGTCGAAAATTTCTGTGAAGACTGGAAAATGGTTGGTAGTTCAAAAGTTCTTATTGCTTATTGCTTTATTTATCCTTTCATTGCATTTGAGTACAACACATGCGTTTTCGGAGTACAATTCACCGCAAATGCCGTTTTCTTTATTGTTACTGATATTTTTGTCGGTTCAATATCTTGGTTCATAGATTTATTTATATTTTATGCAATGAAAAACTCGTTATTCGGTCTTACTCCAGACAACATTGGCACAAACTGGAACCCAAGAAGTCCTTTGAGGCTTGTTGGCATCATTATTATTTTAATAGGTTCCCTACTTTATACAAGGGTAGTTAAACTACCATGGTTCAGATATGAAGAATCTGCCGTTAAAGTCTTCAAGGTGAATGAGCCTTCCGAAGAAGTGGTAATGATGGTTTAAATTTTTATTTGATTTTTTTGTTTCTTATTAGATAAAAAATGTATATGCTGCAGAACGATCTATGGTATTCAATTGGATGATCAATATTTTTTTTAAAAAAATCTAATTTGATTTTTTTAGAAATTGGGTGAAACAATAAGAGTAATCAATGGGAAAGTATTTTAGAATAAATTCGGAATTAACCTAAAAAATGGTTTCAATATGAATTTATGAATAAAATTGATATTCCGATTGCGTATCAAGTGATGCATATATTTCAAGAAAGAAAACTTAAAATAATGTATCTCTTTTAGAAGATGTAAAAAATTATATCGATATAAAGTACGATCCTCCACATTAATTCACTACTATTCAAATTTTACTATAATTTCAAATGAAACCTCATAGAAAATCCTATTATTGAAAAATGACTATTCAAATATTATTGATCGAAATGAAGTATTTCCCCAACTTATGATATTATTATGAACTATATTTCTCGATAATTTACTCACGCGCGAATATTGAATAGATTCTTTGAAATTTTTGATTAGCACATTCAAAACTTTGGATTGTCTAAAAATCATGTTCCTCCATTAATGATATAATAAAAAAGCAAAATTTCAATTTAGTAGATGTGTTTATTTGGAAAATTGTTTTCAATTCAAAAGTTTTTTTTTCAAAAATTTATTGGAAAAGTTGAATGAAAAGGCATGAAAATAATATTTTCGATTAATTTAGAAGGTAATTCGGGACTAAGGATCAACTATTACAACCAAACATACAATCATATATCGAAAATGGAAAAAAATACAAATTTCCTAACAAAACAATTACCAAATGGAGAATCAGACTGATTCATTTCGAAATAATATGACATAATGATACAAATTCAATTATCAAAAACAAAAAGGCAAAATATTTAAAAAAGTGAAAAAAAAATGTAAAAAAGCAATTTTAGATGATCTACCTAAATAGGAATAATGCATTCATTAATGAAACCATTATACCAATAATTTCTGATTTTCAATTTAATGGAAAATAATTTCATTTTTTTCAAAAAAATATGGAAGAAAAAATGAATTATGTTGATTAATGTTTGATATTATCTATATGTTAGATTTATTGATTACATTTTTCAATAATTGTATCGCAGTTTTGAAAAATATAAATAAATCAAAAGACAGAAATTTAATTGATTTTATAAGAAACTGAAAAGCATTACTGAATGTATTAGATACAATTCTAACAATATTTATCCAATCCGATACAAAAATTGTTATTGGATTTATTTTACGCAATAATTATTATATTTGCATATTGTTTAAGTTCCTCTTTAAATTAATTATTATTTTATAATTTCAATGGACGTTCTCTCAAAAATAAATTCAAACCGTAATTTTTTCACAAATTAAATTCAAATAATTTTGAATTGTATTGAAATCTTTAAAATTTTAATTTTATTGTGTTTATTTTAATAAAACCCTTATGTAAAGCAAGAAAATGACTTAAAAACTTCTAATAATTTTGTGAGATAGTAACTTTTCAAAACTATCAATTCAGAAAAAATTATTTGTTGACATTTGATCTTTATACTTAAGTAGTTATTTCAAATTTTCGGACATTTTCCTTTACTGATGAATTCAATTTTTCAGAGCCATTATCGTTCAACTATAATTATTCAATGGAAGCTATTTATGAGCAACCATCCCATAATGGAATGAAAAGACAGAAGTTTACAGCCGATGAGGACACCCAACTCATCAATCTAGTCAATATTTATGGTACGCACTCATGGAAAAACGTATCCAAGCATATGAAAAACAGAACCACTAGGCAATGCCGAGAAAGGTACAACAATTATCTATCTCCGAGCATCAAGAATGGTCCCTGGACCCAACAGGAAGATATTTTGCTTATTTCCAAAGTAAAAACAATGGGGCCCACCTGGTGTAAAATTGTTTCATTCTTTCCGACTAGATCAGACGTAAACATAAAAAACAGATATGCATATTTGGTATCCAAAGGTAGGGCAAGGGCGTTAAAACATGCAATTAAGAATACAAAACCAAAGCCAAAGCCTATTCAAGCAGAATCGAGCGTTGAATTGTTCAACTACGCTCTTGACAATATAGATTCTTCTCTTACAGAAAAAATTTTTGCTTCAGATTCCATATTCGATTTCGATAGCATTGATCTTTATCCATAAACATTATATTTTGTATTGAAATTGTAAAACATTAATTTTCCGCTTTACTGTTACAGCATATCATTAAAAAATTATAAAAAGATTATTTTTCTAAATATACGTTAAAAACAGATTATTTCATGGTAGTAATACTATAATCTCTAAGCTATAGCTTACGCATCAATCGGATGATAATCCAGAAACAAATATGAACCAAAGTAGTAGGATATGACGGGTTTAGTGACTTTTTTTGTTACATCTATATATAGACGATGCATTAAAATATATTTATTTATAAATCATTAAAAAATTAACATTAATTTTAAAATAATTTATTTTTTTATCTTTTATAAAAGAAGCTATATATAGATGATGTCAGATATTCCGCGATTAATTAAACATTGTTTAAATCCTGAATGGGTTAAACTTCAATTTAAAAATGAAGATTGTGAATTATTAAATGAATATGAAAGCCAAAAATAAGCTAATGAGGTATAAATATAATGATAAAGAATATTTAATTTCATGGAATCAATGGAGTCATAATCAAAGACCTCATAAACGAGAAGAAGAAATTGAAAATAATGAAATGGAAATCATTGATGACATTAAAGAGGATGGAATTCCTAAATTTTGTAGAAAAACCTTTAGAACTAAGTTAGGAGCATATAAACGTAGAGTATTAAATCCTGAATATCTTAAACATCAATTTAAAAAGGAAGACTGCGAATTATTAAACGCTAATGAATATGAAAATGCTAAATCAAAACTGAGATATAAATATGGAAGTGATGAAAGGTGTAAAGATAAAGATAAAGTTTATTCAGTTTCATATAATAACTGGCACACGTTAGGAATAAGAAAACATTTAGGAGATTATGGGAAATGTTCTGAATTCTTTAAATCTAGTATGTATGAGAGAGTAAAAGAAATTAGAAATAATTATTTTCATGAATAAAAAATAAACTTTAAAAATTCATGTCTTACATTTTTGAATAATTTATTTTTTTAATTCGTAAGAAATGAGTGAATCAAAATTCGTGACTGTGAATCAATTAATGGATAAACTTTCACCAATTCTCACCCAGGTTAAACAAGTAGACGTTTATTTTGATGATTGCATACAAAGTTTATTTTATAAAGGTAAGTTTAATATTAAACCTATTGCTTTTGCATTTGATGGTAAATTAATCGAAAATTCAAAAATTTGGGAATTAATTCCGGATATTGAATTTATAACAAATATTAAGGATAAATGGTTTAAGGATACCCTTACATTGCGTAGTTAGAAAGAGAATATGATATTGTCATGATTGCTAAAGTTTTAGGCTCCAGAAATGAATATACATCAAACTGAAACAATTGATAAATTGAATGAACTTTTGAGAGGTTCTCAAATAAAAAAAATTATCTAATTTTTTACAATATTACTATTATTTTATCCACATATGTATATATAGTAATTTGAGAAAACTTTTAGGAAAAAATAAGTTTAATAAAAATCTGAATTTTACTTGTTGTGGGATTGTTATTAATTGACACTCCAGACGTATTACTAATAGTTATGCGTATGCAATTAAAGTATTTCTGATGGACAAAATGTGAGATTTATATCAGATAATTCATTTCTACTATTAAGTTATTCATTTATGAGTTTGCACTTATTCGCACTAAATAAATAACTATTAAAAATTGTTTTAATTAATTGACACCATATAATAGAGTGAATTTTGTTTATCAAACAACAATAGATGATAGATATAAAGCCAAGAAACTTGCTATTAATATGCTCTACTTGCTATTTCAATGTAAGTATGATATTTTCTAAATGTTTCGTTCAGATAACTTAGATATATTAGTCAAAATTTGAAATTTTAATAGCACATATATTAAAAATAATTATTATTCATAAAAGATTAATGAAATAGTAAAAAAAATCAATCAAATTATAAAAATACAACATTTAGAAGAATTCTTATTATCCTTCAAAAAGTCAGTATTTCTGCTGTAATTTTCTACAACATTGTAGTTATTGCACTTTGTCTATGGATTTGTATATATGTTATATATAAATTATATATCTAAACTGCCCATAAGTGCAATTTTTATATAAATTGTTTATTTCTTTAACAATTTCATATGAAATATGCTTTTTTAAGCGTATCAAAGCTGTGTTCTTAATGTGCATGGATATATCAAGAAAAATGTCGAAAAAAAATGTGAATTCACAAATTCACTGAATTTTCACCGTTTTTTGAATTTTGCTACAGCACTAATATTAAATAATACTAAAATCTTCTGTCTTTGTAAAAGAATAAATTCTGACAAAAAGTGCTCGTTTAAATTTAATGATCATCTGTATGACTAAGTGGTAAAAAGTGTTTATGACCAAAAAATGGTTACATGCTTAGTCTATTTTTCTGACAGGATACTCTAGATTTACATGATCTCTATTTCATATCTCCGTTTTTAGATTCTTCGACAGATTTTATGATAGAAAACCAAGATTAACAAATTTCCGGCATGTTAATGAAGAAATCTGCAGCTACCCTCAATATTATTTCAATAATCAGTATCGTTTCTCTTACAATTTATTTTTTCTCAATAATTTAACAAGAAATAACAATACACACTTGGTTTTACGTATAAAAGCTAAGTGTCGAACTTAATCAACTTTACTTACTTAGCAAATGAATATTTTTGTGTGTTGCGAGTTCTGAATGCTGAAGTTTTAGATTTCTCTTAAATGATATCATTGCACTTACAATGTTGTTCCAGCCTATCGCATAATCATAGAAAATCCAAAAAAAATAATATAAAGAAAATTCATGTCATGAAGTTCAAAAAATACCTGTAACATTAAAATTTGTTATGCATAATACATTTTAGCTATTATTGATTTTTTTAATTTTCGAGAAATTGAATGGTGAGTCCGATAGAGAAATTTTTAAAAATCCTAGTGCCTCATAGAAGTAATTTCCCTCGTCTCCATACTTCCAAATGTATGCATATGACATAAATTTTATGCATTACACAAGTGGCCAATAATATCTATAGAGTAAAAAATTAGAAATTTAATTTTTTTATATGATAGTTATATTTCAGATTTGCGAGCGTAACTTTTTTCTCCATGGCATACTTGTTTTAAGAGCAAATGATCAAAATCGTCCTTCAATTATTGAAGGAGCTGATATCTTTTGAAAATTGAATTGAAAGGGTATTCAATTTTCAAATTTCCTCTCAATTTTGGAAACATATCAACTCTATGAATTAACAATTATGTGCCTTCACAGTTTATCAGTCATATAAGGTGCTTATAAAGAAAAAAGTTACGCTCGCAAAATATGTTTTTATATAGATTTCACATAAAATAATTATGTAATTTCTAAAAAGAATATTTTTGTTCTTGAATATTAAAGTATATTGTAGTTTAAAAAGTTTTAAATATGTTGCTAAAATTTCAGGTTTATAGCTCATGTCTAGCATGACTTCTTTGTATGCGCAAAAAATCTGACACGTAAGGGTATCCTTAAACAACAAAACCACCTCACTAAAGTTCTTTGTAGATTAATGATTAAAACTGAGGAAAAAGAATTTAACGGGTTTAAATATCATCCATGTAAAATTTTAGAACTTGGTAACGAAAAACTTCAGAAAAAATTAAACGATAGACTATCAAAAGATAAAGTTGAAAGAGTAAATAAACTCGCTAAAGGTAATGGTAATGATGAAGAAGAATTTGATGAGTTCAACATAGAACTTTAAGAAACTAATGATTATTTGAATTTATGAAATCAATTATTTGATTCATTCTTTCTTCAATCTCTTCTATTCTTTTTGTTAAATCATCAATTTTCATTAATGAGGTGATTCTTGATTGAGGAATAGATTTCAAACTAATCACCCCTTTTATTTCTGAAATTTTGAATCCATCAACTTTAAACATTTTCTTCAATTTACACGTTGTCAATTCTTCAAATAATTTTTTATTATTAGCATAATAGTCATTAAATTCTTCAACAGATGAAAAATTTTTTATTTCAGTAATTGGTTTAACAACGTTTATTTTTTGTTGAACATTTTCACTTTCATTTATTTCTTCCTCCTCTGTTTCATTTATTTTTAAAATCGGTTTCATTTATCATTAAATAAAAATTAGAATATAAGTGATGAAATATATTTTTTTAATTAATATTAAATCAGAAATGGCGGCAGGATTCTTTAAAAAATTATGGGATGGAATTAAGAAAGCTGCGGGTTGGGTTTATAAAAAGATTATTAAACCGTTGCAAACTTTTTGGCACCAGTAGCGAAAACGGCAGGAACTATCATAGGTGGAGTATTAGGTAATAAAGCAGGTAATCCGGCGATGGGAGCACAAGCAGGTAACGCAGTTGGTGGAATTGCTGAAGGAATACTTAATAAAATAGGAGGTAGATAGTGGAAAAATAAATAAATATTATTTTTATCTTAGTATCGGTTGTAGTCTTTGATAAACTTTTTCTCTTTATTTAAAACTTCTCTTATTGGGGCAGCTTTTGGTGTTATTGATTCAGCAACGTCACTAATTGCTTCTTTATTCTTAAATATCCAATTTGCCCCCTTCTTCAATGTTTCCCAAACTTTACTCGCTCCTCTTTTTACTTTATCCCACAGTTTCTTAAATATACCTGCAGCCATAGTTGATTATTTCATTAAAATTAAAAATTCATTTTCATCTTTTAATTTTGATTTTTTATTTATTAATAAATGACGACTAACTATTTGGTGCCAAACACTAAACCGATTAATGGAAATGTGTTTCATTCATTCGAAAAGATAAATGAAATATTCGCAAAGAATGACGGTAGAAGATATTATAGAGAACTTGAAAAGTTCATGCTATGACTCTGATGCTCCATATTTGATGATAAACAAACTCATTTAAGAATTACAAATCCAGCTCATGATGTGAACCAATTAGGTGACACATATATTAAACGCAAAGTTAAAGCAACTCTAGTTTCAACTAAAGCTTTCAC